GGTACTGTTTCATCCTGGCAGTCGCACAACGGGCAGTCGGGTGGGGTATCCTTGCGGATCCTATTAAGGTAGGAATTTAGTGGTACATGTATGTGTTGTGTTAGCAGGCGAAAGATCGTGACTTGTTCTCTTCTACTCAGGGAATTTATTGCATCTTATTTAGAGTTGGGGGCTGTCATGTGTGCAAATACAGTTCTTCCAGTTTTGCCCATTGCCCATCCATTCAGCCACTGTTCCCTGGTGTTGCATTTGATGATGTCTTGGCTGTCTGGTTGTGATACTGAATGTGAGGTTGTGTTTGTGATGCTCCTTCTTGGCAAGGGTGTCTGCTCTGTCGTTTCCTGGGATGTTGCTGTGGCCAGGTATCCACTGTAGTGTCAGGTCGACGGCATTGGTCTGTATGAAGGTGTTGATTGTTTGAGCCACGGCGAAATTCATGTTTTCCAAAGCATGGACTTGGAGTACTGACTTTCCGTCTGTGAAGATAATGGTGTTCTTGATTTTGTTTGGGTGTATTATGAAAATGTTGGTCAGGTGGAGGATTGCTGCTTCAATGGCGATGGCCCCAGCCTCGTAATTTGTACAAGAAGTACCACATGCATCAAATAGCTCTTCACATGTTTTGTCAGGATGTTCAATTCTTACCCCAAAGCCTGCGTTTATAGTTCCCTTGAAGGCTGACCCGTCTGTGTAAATATGAATTGAATCACTAGGGTAGGAGTCAATTGTCTTCAGAGCTGTCATGTTATCTTCAGTTCTACTGGGTCACATTCCTTTTTCACTGTCTATTTTATGAGGGAAGTTTTGATGTTGGCATTCTTGATGTTAGTGTTTGGGGGGAGTTCTGGTCCTAAGGGTTTCAGCATTTCTCTGTTACATGGAAGATGGTGTTTTTCTGCTAGTTCAGTGGCTGTATCAAGTAATGATCTTCCATGAATCCGTTTCTTCGGTTCTCTGTTCAATCATTTTCCTGTTTGGGTGGGTTTTTCCTCTAGTTTTTTTTTTGTAGCGCTCATTCATCTCCACAACTACTGCCTCTCTCCGCAAGTCCAAGGGTTCCAGGTTCGTATGGATTTCACAAGCTGCAGTTAGAGTGGATCTGAAAGCTCTGGAGATAAATCGTACAGCTTGATTTTGGATTTTGTCAAGAGACCTCTGAGTTGGTTTGCTGTAGGATTGTCTGTAAGGTTAGGTTATAATTCCATGGCAGAGCGTACATAGCCAACATATTAGCTGTCTGAGTGCATCCTTGTCAGCTAAAAATCAGTCACAGATAGATTGTACAATTTGCCATTCCCCGATTAGTGGGCTCGTGTAACCTGATACATTGTACTCCTAATGACAATGGGTGCATTGTTTTGCTTTGTGCCAGCAGGGCGATTTGAATTCAAAACAATTTGGAGGATAAATTTGATCTGGGTTGTTTTTTTACACGAGCTGTTTGACATAGGTGTTTGAGAAAACAGAGTTGCCAATACAAAGAAAATTATATAATTAATAGCAGTGATCTGCTGTGACTAGTAAGTGCAATTTTTTTCTCGTCATAATCATACGGCACATCAGTAACATCCTCTTCCTTTGACACTGACACGGAACAAGGCGCACACAATATCCATTCTATACCTTTACCGATACCTGGTAGGCCTACTTTTCAACATGGTAGGGAAGAGAAAACTTAATATCAATTGTCCGACCATATTATAATCACATTTTAAAAAATAAAAGTTTACCCAGATTATGGACATGTCATCAAACATAATATTTGTCAATCCATGATATTATATTGGGAGTTATCTGTGGCCGACTATTGACTGCAGGAGAAACATGGTTTTTATTTATTTATTTTTTTGGAAAATGTTTTGTTTTAGTGAGTTTTAAGGCACTTGCAACACAATAAGGTCATATATAACGTGCCGAAGATTAGAAATTAGAGGTATTACCTGTCCCCGTAGGATTATGCGATTGTGCCGCCGCGGCGCGGCCGCGTTTTTTTCGCGTAATTCTGCACATTTGCATAATTTTGGATTCCCCGTGTTTTTACCCTTTTTTATTTTAACAAAACAATTAATTTTATTAATAAACGCCTCGCCATGTGACTAAAGGGAAATAATCACCGTAATAAGTCTTATTTAAGTGAAAAGCTGGTTATTTCCCTTGGTAGAAGATCTTTGTTATATTAAGGTTTGGGATTTTGTTCCTTGAGCATGTTCAATTTTTCAATCCATCAAAAGTTGTTGTTCTCATGTCTGCTGATGCTTCATGTTTGACAGGTGTCCTTGGTTTTAGTAATGTGCCAGCATCAGAGGTCCAGATGTCCTTTTTTTTTTTTTTTTTAAACATTTTCTTTTCCAGATCTAGAAATCTACAGCTGAAAGTTACAGAGATTATATTTTTTAGTTTTTTTGTTTTTTTTAACAGATGTGTATTGTTTTCTTTCCAAATACACTACAAATTACTGATACTGATATGCTCTGTTTCAAATTTTTCTGTACTTAAAACATAAAAGTCATGCAAATTTGTGTTGAAAAAGTGCAAAACATGTGAAAGGTGTTGCGTTAACTTGCATAATTTGGCATTTTTTGGGCATAATTTGGCCATCTAAATTCGCATAATTCTACGGGGACAGTATTACAAGAGAGTAACAAACACAAAAAAGCAGGAGGGGAGAAAAAGACGATAGATATTAATTTGATAGGAAAGAAGAACCAAACCACACCAGAGCACCCGCCAACCACCCACTGGTAAGTGTTTACAGTGCTTGCAACTGAAGGTCGTATGGAGCGCGCGGGACACATTAACAATAATAATAACATGTTCAGTTGGTAGGAATTTTAACATTTTGCCCCAGGTGGCGGCCAAAGCCTACTCTTATCAATTTTAAGGCCACCAAGGGATCTTAAACCTGCGCAATATGCACATGCGATCTCAGAGATTTTTCGCCCTTATCCAAGAAGGCTAGGTGTAGATCTTACCTACAAGGGGTGTGGATAAAAGACAGCAGTGTGCAGGAGCCGCAGACAGAAGAAAGTCTGCAGAAAGAGTCAGGAGCCCGGGGGGGGGGGGGGCAGAAAGTGGAGACGAAAACAGACGAGAGAACGTAGTTAGTTAGAGAGCAGGAAAAAATGTTCCCGTCGCTGTCCTGATTCAAACCTGGAACCTACTGAATGAATGTGAGGCGAACAGTGTAATCTCTAGACCACAAGAGCCCCCACCCCAAGAGAGCTGGAGAGTTGGCTAGCAAGTACATGTAATAGTAGGCCTAAACACCTCGCGTAGAGGTGTCCTCCAACCACCTGCCACTCAGGTCACCTGCTACAGTAATAAAATTTGTAGTTAGCTACATGTTTGTTTTAGTGAGCATTTTACTGGACTTGCAACGCAATTAGGTAATGTAAGTGGCAAAGATAAGAGGTATTACAAGTTAGACTAGTTAGAGAGTAAGAAACACATAGAAAAAGAGGCAAGACAAGGACGATAGATGTTTGATAAAATATATGGAGCCTAATTTTTTTCAAGACTGAGATCATTACAAATAGATGATCTGTCGTTATTTCGACAAAAACACCCAGCGTTGACCCGCCCCTGGCAAGCGAGTCGGCTCTATACTGTTGTAGAGTCGAGAGCTTCCCGCATGGGTGGTCACATGCTTTCCGAATTTCGCTGAAATATTGATGAAAAATAATTCCAAGCCGATTGCTTTATTCTAATAGAAAATGAACTGATCTTTCTATTGGTACCCTTTTTTGAGCCTGTATTTTACATATTTCGTGTAAAAATCTATCTTTGAAAACTTACAGTTTAAAGGCTTTCTGTATAAACGCCAAAAATAAGGAAAGCCCGCCCAAAGCTCTACAGTTCTCTGCCAATGAAAAGACCATATTTAATCATCAATCTTTCCACAAAGCATTTGAAAGCATACTTGTCAATTTTTTAACCGGTCGACCACGCGTTCCGACCGCGAGGGGCTTCGCTTTCCATTGCGATTCTCTAGTTCTTAATAATCGGCCATATAAACAACTTACACCATTGTAACGAGGAAAAGCAGAACCTTTACAAAGTGTACAGCATTTGGTATTTTATAGCGAAAGAGCAAAGAAACAGCAATCTGAATTACCCCGATCTCACCTATACCACGCGCTCGGAAGGCCGTGTTTAGTACGCTACCACAACTTCCAGCAGCTGATGTCATTTTTCGAGGATTTTCGGGTCCACATTATGTTTGAGATTTTTTTGCTTCAGGGCATCCTAAATAGATCTATGCCATTTCTGGCCATTTAAGCCCAAATTTAACAAGAAAATATGTGAGAAAGAAAACATACCTTGCATACGTAATTTTTGCTTGTGTTAATCCATATAAATCCAAGGCCATGCTTTCTCCCTTGTACTGATACAGAAGATTCATAACAGTAGTATAACAGCTAGATCTATAAAACTTGACAGTTAATGTTCAACTTTTTCAGCTTCAAGTGTTGGTTTGCACCATAATGTGTAAGTAGAATCCTTATGATAGTTTAACAGCTAGATCTAAATAACTTGACAGCTTATATTCAACTTAAATCCACAACAATATTTACAAATAAACAAGTCTGATAAAAAAAATAAAAATCAAAGCTCTCTTAATTAAGAGAGAAAATTTCTTTTCTTGGCAGGCTCAAAATCTATTGAACCACATTTCTTCCTCTTGTTTACACTGCTGGTGCTCTCTTGTGCTTTAGAAAGTGAAAGTGAAAGACACTGTCTACACTTTCAAATAAATGAGCACTTCCGGCATGGGTTGGCTATTGTTGACTAGATCTATTAGTAATTACGAAAATTTTAAATTTTGCATTTTTAAAAACAACTTTTGAAAAATTATTTTTATTGGGCACAAATTTTCACGGAAATTTTTCCATTCGCCGAAATCTGCTATTTTGTGGATTAAATTTGCGGAAGACTTGCAGCACTGGCTACCTACACACACAGAGGACATGCACTTGCATTTGAAAACTTCACAACAAAACTTGTCTACCTCCCATTTTATTGTCTCTCTGTGAAGATACTTTCGGAACAAAACTTTGTGTACAACAAAAACAAAACAAGAATCCATTCACAAGCGACTGTACAAAATATATTTCAAAGTGTACCAAGACATTCAAAATGCAGCCTCAGTTGTCCAGGTCAATTGAATACAAAGAATGGCGAATAATAGAAACCTGAACGTTTGAAATTAGTTCTGAATATATATGACCTGTAAGTGGGTAGCGTTCAAATGGTTTGGAAAAAAAAATATTAAGTGAACAGCATTAGATTTGGCTTGGTACTGGAAGAAAAAATAACATTTACAACTAAAGTACCAAAACCAGGATCAAAAGGCAAAACATAATATGTAAAGAGAAATTAAAACAAAAGAAAATGTAACAAGGGACATATCTACATTACAACAACCCAACATAAAAAAAGATCAGAAACAATCAGATTACTCACAAGTATGACATTAGAACAAAGGGCAGTCTCGTCTTGCACACACAAAATACATGAACTAAAAATATGCCTGATGACATAGACATATATATTAAAATGTATAGATATATTTACACTTTACTCAAAAGCTCACGCGATGCAGACTCAGCCAGTTTCAACCAAAGGCCAACTTTAGTGAAGCAAAAACTTCCGACAACTAGTCAGCCCATACTCCCCACAATTACTTTCTTCAGTCCATTCACACTTCCAACAATTACTGTCAAACCATGCTTCCAACAATTACTGTCAAACCATGCTTTCTACAATTTCTGTCTGCCATATACTGATGAAGATGAAGGGGACTTGACATCAGTATGAATGCTGAATCCACAGATGTGAAATTTTTCCACTTCCTCCAGTGGTGAATACAATCAAAACCACATAAAACCAGACGCCATAGAGCTAAAAAATGAACCCAAAATTTCCACTCTTCAACCAAGAATAGCCATTAAGAATGGAGAACAAAGCAAAAAAAAACCTGCTGTTGTTATGAACATAACTGGACACAAAAGTTGAAACTGCCTTCCATCTCTATACTTTGCTTTCTCAGGATTAGCAATTTGTTGTAACAAAATACAACTTCCTTTTTCAACACTGCTGCTAAATAGGCACTGTTTAAAAAATCTATCCAACATGAAATAATTTTTCTTTAATATGAATTCATGTATCTTAATCTTGGTCAATGCATTCTACACAAACATCCTCATTCAACACACATTTACCCTCTACAATTTTGACCAAGAAATATGAATCAAAATCCCTATTCAAAGTCTGCACTGCCTGCTACAATGAGATCAATTTGGCATCCCTGATAAGATAAAGCTATTTCACTTCCATACAAATCCATTCCACAGCTAAGGGATGCAAGTAACAGTCTTAATTCTAACTGTAATATTAAAAAGTGCTTTTCGTTTTCACAAAAAATCACTCACCACAAAAACCTTGAAAACAAAATCATAAAAATAAAATAATTTCTTTGCCAAGGAAGAAAATAAATAACGGAACGAAAGTTATGTACGAAGATAAATTCAGACTGATGATTAAAAATGTCTTTAAATGGGAACAAACTCAGAAACCTCAACAATGGAATGCTGAAGTTAACATTTGACCCAAATTGCAAGGAAATAAACTTTGAGCACTGGGTTTTCTTAAGAAAATAGTCAGTGTACATTTAATTATTTACCACTAATGGCTACAAGAAAGTAAAAATTTACTAAGTTTAACTAGCCGCATGATACAGTTTATGATTATTTTCAAAGCAAAGAGTCAATCAGAAGTAGGCTATGTGAAATACAATCTACTTTTGCTTTAAAAAAACTAAAGGCAGCCCAACAATACAAAAATAAAGATACATTGGAAGTTAACAACAACCCATGTAGTTGACTGTTAAGATGAAATAATGACACAGAAAGTTCAAAACAGTGATTTCATAAGTCTAGCAAACAGTTCTTTTTATAACATGTTAAAACAAACTTTCAACAGCCTTGTGCTCATTTAAGAGGAGGTGGCAGGATACTGTGCAAAATTATAAGCAGTTGTCTGGCCTGTCTGTTGGTTTGAAGCAGTCTGAGTGCTGTACGCAGCACTGTAGGAGCTGGGAGCAAAGAGAAAGGAAACAATAAAGCATCAAAAGCCGGAAATGAGAACAACAAGAGTAGGAAACTTGAGACAACAAAATTGAAAGGATGGGACACATGTTAACTTGGAAGAAAGTTGCTAAAATCACACAATGACTGAACCCCCTCCTCACACAATAATAATTATTAATAATAATGTGACTATGAAGGCAGTAAACATCATTCATCTTCATTTTATGTTTTAGTAAGCATTTTACAGCACTTGCAATGTGATTAGGTCATAGTAACAGAGCTTCCAGCAGCTGATGTAATTTTTCAAGGATTTTTAGGGTCCACGGCGCTCCCTGGCAGGGGGTTGAAGGGGGACAGCGCCCCCTTATGTTTTTATTTTAGTTTAGTACTGGGTTTTACGGCGCTCACAACTGCATAAGGTCATATGAGCATGCGATACACAAGTTGGTTGCATTCGCAACAGTTCAGTGCACGGCTGGTCAACTATTAGATTTTAAAAAGGTAAAATATTAAAATTCGGTGTAAATATATTTTCAATTTAAAACAACTCTTTTAAATAACAAACATTTTTAACAATTTTATTTCACTTTATAATTTCCCATAAAGGCCAATGGCCTTCATAAAATCTAAAATTCTGTTGGGAACAACGACAGAAAAAATATCTTGCTATTTTTTGCATTTAAAATATTTCCTTCGGGTCTCTCCGAAGTTAAAATGTGTCAAATGGTAAAATCTGTGCTGCATCCAACACAGAACAGCTTCTCATCTCCCTGAAGTCAAGACATTCGGTTAAAAACTTACAATGTGTCTAATGGTAAAGAGCTTCTCATCTCCCCGAAGGAGGTATTTTTGTGTTAGGGCCGTGTGTCTGATGCGTAATCGAGTAAAAATGACTTCGTCTCTTCTGGAGAGGCCCGAAGGATTTCGTGGTCCCAGTTTGGGTTTAATGTTTCCCCTTATGTTTGAGAATTTTTGGTTTCAGGGCATCAAAGTATACCATTTCTGGCTATTCAAGCCTAAATTTAACAAGAAAATAAATGAGAAAAAAACATACCTTGCATACATAATTTTCTGCTTGTGTGAATCCATATATAAATCCAAAACCAAGCTTTCTCCCTCGTACCGATACTGTACATCCACAACAGTAGTATAAAAGCTAGATCTACAACACTTGACAGTTAATGTTCAACTTTTTTCTGCTTGTGTTGGTTTGCACCATAATGTGTAGAATCCTTATAATAATTAATAGTAAAACAGCTAGATTTAGAAACAAGATCTAAATAACTTGACAGCTTATAAACTTAAATCCACAACAATATTTACAAATAAACAAGTCTGATAAAAAAAATCAAGCTCTCTTCAGAGTTTTCTTTTCTTGGCAGGCCCAAGATCTATTGAACCACAATCGTCATTTCTTCCTCTTGTTTACAGAGCTGGTGCTCTGCCTCTTGTGCTTTAGAAAGTGAAAGTGAAAGACACTCTCTACACTTTCAAATAAAAGAGCACTTCCGGTATGGGTAGGCTATAATTGACTATTAGTAATTACTGAAAGTTTTTATTTCTCATTTTTGAAAATAATTTTTACTTTCATTGATTTTTTTTTTTCCACGAATTTTCACGGGAATCTTTTCATTTGCGGAATTCTGCTAATTTGCGGAAATCCGGAAAATTGCGGAAGACTGGAAGCACTAATGTAAGTGGCGGAGATCAAAAGTGTTACAAGACAGTAACAAACACAAAAAGGAAGTAGAGAGATAGTCAGATAGGGCCGGCAGATGTTAGACATGAAAAAAGAGCAAACCACATCAGAGCACCAGCAACCACTCGCCATTCATCTTCACTTCCTCTGCATCCACCTTTGACCACAAAGCCATAAGCAGAATGTGGGTGGCAGGAACCCACCCTAATAAAGAAATAACGAATCCACAAAGACAAACAGGTCAAAGAAATGACAAAGTTTTCTGAGAACTAGAAAACAAGCTTTAAGTGGTTTGGGTATAAATACAATATCTATATAAAATCCTTCAGCATAAAACGCACAGGTGCTTCTTGCATGATCGGGAATTTACTTGGTGTGACTGACGGGAGCATTTTTAAAAATCAGTAACAATAAGGACATCACTTCTAAAGGTGTCATGGTGTGGGTATGAAGGGAAAGAACCAATGGTGTCTATATGAGCAGTTGCTTTCCTTGACGCTTATCAACATCATCTCCCTTTTGATTTATTATCTGTAAAGAAAGTTGACCTAGATTGGTGTGCCCCCCCCAAATTACAAAGCAATTTGGTTCCTCCTAACAAAGAGTCATGTTCTCTTTGCTGTTATACCAGATTTGTCACCTGTCCCAGATTAACATTGAAAACCAAACTGTAAGTATCAAATAAACATTTATTCCCCCCTCCTCATCATTTTTCTCTGAAAAACTTTCCAAATCTAAAATAGAAACAAATTATGAGTGAACTTTCAGTTACTCAAGTCTCAATTTTTAAAACCAACTCCATACATTGCCTTGTCTTATACAGTAGTCTCCGCTTAAACGCATGCCATACAATAGCACGCTCTGCTCAACACATGCTTTTATCATATAACGGGTTTTTTACAACATAATTTAAACCTACAAACACACTGTCACTTCCTCTAAATGCACGATTCGAACCGCGTAACACGCCCGCCGACAGGCAAAGCTTGACAAGGGGAAATTTTCACTACAACCTCCACAGCTTGCATAAGACAAGCCCAGACAACAGGATATTTGGTGAGACTGCCCCTCACGCCAAACAAAAAGTGATGGACAGCGTATTACACCCAACTTTCCGGAGACACATAGGTCTAAGACTGGTCAGTGAAATGTTGGGGGTCTGGGGGACTGAAATATTTTTTGATTGGTACTGGAAATGCATCTTTGAAAGAAGCTATCTGACTGGTGTTTGAGTGACTGCATGTAATGTTATGTTAGACTTAGGCCTATGATTCATGAATGCTGTAAAACGCTAGATAGGCCTCTGAAGGATTAAAGATTAGTCAAATGAGCCTAATCAGCTGCACTCCAAGAACTTATAACGTGCTTGTTTAACGAATCACAAGATAAATGTTTCTCTGAATGTAGAGATCTATGATTCTGATGTCATTCATGAATTTACGGTCGGGGGTGGCCACTAGGAAAGCCACGTGGCTGGGCAGTCATCTCTATGACTATCAGCAACAGTTTTTTTCTTAGTCTTACTACAGTGGAATCCTGTTATAACGAGAGGGAGGGGACCGGTGCGAAATGTCCGTCATAGCAGGATTCTCGTTATTAGGGATGCAGTAATAAATTCTAGGGAGGTAGTAAAGTAGGCCTAATCTATGAGTTTGGTGTTCTGTTTATTCCTTTTCGTATTTCCCCAGATGATGATTTTGTTCAACATGATCTCTAGGTCTTACTTTATCAAAAATCGAATCATGTTTCTTTCTCTAGCACTAGCAATGTTGACAAATCGGCTTTGGCGATCAGAAAGAAGGGGCTCTGGCTCTAGGCTAACTTGCCCTCTGTGTTGCTCCCCACCCCACAACACCCTGTGGTGCGTTGCGTCTGCTTGCGCACGTCACACATTCACGCCATCTATCACAGCATTGTGACCTCTCCATCCCGCACCAGAGAAGTGAGAGGCACGGTATGCCTTGATAATCTAGACTGGGCTGGCCTATCACGCGATGCGTTCTGCTTGTCTGCGCATGCCACACCCTCCCCACTAATTCGCTCCGGCCTTCATTGTTGGTTCGTGTGGGCTCTCCCGCTCTTTGTTTCGCTGGATCACCAACAACTTTCTCAACTGGCGAGGTTTTAATATGTTTAATTGGTCTGTGTGCTTTGCACAGCAGCAGCAATATTCCGCAATAACCGACTCGCGTCTGATTGCGCAATAGCAGTATTTTATTTACAAAGATAAAGAAGGAAAAAAAACGGGGTTTTAGAATAGTGTCTTTATAACTTCTCGTTGTTTCAGGACTCGTTATAAGTGGACTCCACTGTATTAAGCTATCTATTCCCGACATTTTATAGTGCATATCATTATGGGTGGATTCCACATACAGTTAGTCCAGACAGGATTTTTAACTGCAGCCATGCTTGCAGCCTTGCTTTTAGTCAACTGCAGTTGGTCATTTAGCTGAAGGTGTAATAGCATAATTTTAAACTGCAGTTGCAGTTAACCTCATATTGATACTGCGTCCGCGCCAAAATAATTGATACTGTGTTTGCGCCAAAACAAAGGTCACTCGCTTTACTACAGACTGAAGTGTTTGCTTCAGGTTCATATTGCTTGTAAAATTCTACAAGCCTTTCATAAGCCCTCTCTCTAGCATACTTATTACAGTTACTATATTGTTTGCTTTTTACTTTCCACAAGCATTCTTCTTGTCTATAGAGGTCAATAAAGTGCAAAACTATCTTTATTCCACGACGCTATAATGAATAGACCTTCTACTGTCTACTACACATTACACAGATCTACTGGGGTTGAAGGGTGACATAAGACATGGCCGGGACTAATAGACACAGCAAAAACACCTCCACCTCAATGATGCATTAACCCTTAGAGTGCTGATCGCGACCATCCTAACTTCCGTAAAGTGCTGATTGCGACCGTCACGATAGACATTGGCATAGTATAATGCGATGCACGAAAAGAATGAAGTACTAATTTTTATACTGCTGGCTGGTAGGCTACGCAGAATTGATTTCGCCTGCCATTTTTCTTGTCACGGGGTTCGATCAAGGCGCGAGGAGTTTTTTGTTTCACATTGAAGTCAAGTGACAGTGAAGTTGGAAAATTCGTGATTGCGACCCGCGACGAACATGAAAATAGTGTCGCATCAGATTCAGATGAAGATGTTCTGCGTATTTTCCTTCAATCGGAAGATGATTTCGAGGGTTTAGATGCTAGAGCTAACATTTTGTGGAATATAACGTAGGCCTACGAAGTATCTAGACTCTGGTCTAGATTTAGAGATCTAATGAACCGACAAATTTTATTCAGTCATTTCCAACAACAATAACTTCACAAAATACTTTTTGCTTCACATATTCATAAAAAACTTTCAATATTCTAAAACTTTTATTCTTACCTTTATTAGAAATTTTGACAAATGAAAAAGTTATTAGCAACAAAAAAAAGCGTATGTGCAAATCTGGCGTTTTACCAAAATAAATTCGGCACAGAGGGAAAATATAAGGGGAAAAAAGACAGCGCTCTAAGGGTTAATTACATATTTTAAAAACAAAAAGGCAATAAAACAAGACGCTCGAGAACCATTTAATCCATTTTGACATCGTTCTAGTGCTAGGACGTCATTTTCAATAATTTTGTTAGCAAGCGTGGGGCCGTCGCTCGAAGAAAAATCAAAGGCGAGCAGCAGCGTGCCTCGATACAGCCACTCCTTATTGACGTACGGTGAAAATATTTAGCCTGCCAAATATCGCTGTCTGCAGGTGGGACTGCAGTTAGATAAGATCGGATGGCTGACGCAAGACTGATGATGTTTTTCTTATCACAAGTTATGCGAGGCTGCAGTCAAAATCCTGTCCGGACTAACTGTACGTGGAATACCCGCATTACATTGAGTCTGTCTCCCCCCCCCCCCCCAAACGCCTTTGTATTCTTAATCGCTGTCTGGGAATCCTTCACATTATTGGCCAAAGGAACTCCCACCCCAAAGGAGGTCACTTGAATATCAAGGAATTGAGATGACTATGTCCTTTCCTCCCTTTGCTCAGGTTCATGTAAACGCACGCTCCGTATAAACACATGCTAAGGAGCCCTCCCAAGTAGTGCTGTGCGATTTTGAGGAAACAAAAATTTATAGAAGCTTCGAAGCATGAGCCCACTATTCATGCAGTCGAATGCTTTTTTCTTGTATATGATAGGCCCAGAGCTAACTTCTGCCATTCAACATGCAGTAACTATTCACAGCACCGTCGAATGTCTTTTTTAACTTATATACGATAAGCCTAGCTCTAACTTCCGCTATTCGAAGAGCCTTCCAATTGTTTTTTCTTATATACAATAAACCCAGATCTAACTTTCGCTATTCACATTGCAGTCGAATGTTTTTTTCTAATATAATACGATAAGCCCAGATCTAACTTCAGTTATTCGAAGCGCCATCAAATTGGTTTTTTTAAATATATATATACGACAAGCCCAGACCTAATTTCCGCTATTCAATGCGCCGTCTAACTGTTTTTCTTCTTTATGATAAGTCCATCACTTTCACAACGCCAGTCACTGAGCGCGCATGTGCTGTTGTCGCAGACAATGCAGTGTGATGCAATGACGTCACCGTTCATAGCCCTTCGAATTTCGAATAGCCTAGGGAGCTTATTGCGACAGCTAACTTCATGAGAAAAAAAAAAACATTCGCGGCGCTTCAAGAGTCAACTGCCCTTGCTTGAGATATGGTGTGACGAGTGACTATAAGGGATATTCTCTAGAGGTCTCTTGCGGATATTTTATCTCTCTTGTTGGCTCCACTAATCACTCTATCTCGTAACCATCAAACAAAGAGTATTTCTGTATATTTATCTCAAGGATTATAGATATAAGGTGCTCCAATTTTACAACATTTGAGAAAAATCAAATTAAATTCTATTATCTGTTTAAAAAAAATAAAACCATACAGTATTCGAATTGCTCTGCCACGCTTTGAATAGCTGTGAATAGTGCAATAATAATGAATGTCGAATAGCAAAGTCGAATGGGCACAGCTCTACTCCCGAGCACCATGTGTTTATTTTATTTTTTATTATAGTAGAGGGTTTTACGGCACTCGCAACTGCATACGGTCATATGAGCGCCAAGGGGTGGGTGTCAACAGTGAAGTCTTTACAGGGGATCAGACCCACTCTGCCCACCTCTCTAGCTTCAACAGCACAAGGTCTGCTTCAACTATCAAGGCACCCCGGAAATAGCAGGTCACAAGAGAGTGACAAACATACAAAAGAAGTAGAGGAAAATGACAATAGTAAGGATTAGGAAAGAAAAAGCAGCAGTTCCCTGTTGTAGATCAGACACAGTTATGAGCGTGACATGAATCAGCCCATTTTCTACTGCACTTGAACGAGAAATGTCCCCCCTTTGGGAATGGCCGAAAGACACTACAGTCAGTGGCACTGCCCCGGGGGGTACCATGTGTTTAGGCGGAGACTACTGTTATTGTATTGAAGAATACATTAAACCACTGAACTAGTAAAGTCACTTACTCTGAGCCTGAGCCTGCTTGTCCTGACGTGGAGTACATTCCTTGGCTGACATACGAGCCATCAGCTGAGTAGCCTGTACCGGCAGTGTTGCTTGTGTTGTAGCTCTGCACGGTGTTGTAGGCAGCCATGTTGCTTTGATCCTGCTGCGACTGCTGCTGCTGATTGTACATTGGCGTGCTGTAAGCCGCATCCCCACTACCAGCAGTACTGTAGTTTCCCTGGCCCCAGTAACCACTGTTCAGCGAATTGGAGTTATACGCATTCTGATCTGTGCCATAACTTTGCTGCTGGGTGGCGTAGTTGGTCTGCTGTTGCTGTGCCGGCTGTTGCTGCTGTTGGTTGGTGTTATAGTTGGACTGTTGCTGCCCAGAATATCCCTGCTGTGGCTGCTGCTGGTTTGAGTAAGATTGCTGGGTGGTGTAATTCTGCTGAGTGCTGTAACCTGTCTGATCAGTGCTGTAACTGCCGGTGGTGTAGCTGTTCTGCTGGTTGTTGTAGCTGCTCTGATAGGAGTTCTGGGTTCCATAGCTATCCTGGGAGGTGCTGTAGCTTCCGCCTTGAGAATATGAGCCCTGATTGCCATAGCCAGTCTGTTGATTGTTAAAGCCTGCCTGCTGATTGCCAAAGTTTCCCTGATTTCCGAAACCCCCTTGCTGGTTGCTTTGCTGATTTCCAAACGTATTTGATTGACTATCAGACTGGCTGTTTCCATAGCCGGTGTTCTGACTGTTACCATAGCCAGAGCTCTGATTGTTGCTATAGCCAGTATTCTGGTTGTTTCCATAGCTACTCATTTGATTATTTCCATAACCACTTGTTTGGTTATTTCCATAGTTTCCACTTTGACTACTTCCAAAATTGCCACTCTGGTTATTTCCAAAATTGCCACTCTGGTTATTTCCAAAGTTTCCACCTTGACTGTTTCCGTAATTCCCTCCAGCTTGGTTATTTCCAAAGTTCCCTCCAGCTTGGTTATTTCCAAAGTTCCCTCCAGCTTGGTTATTTCCAAAGTTCCCTCCAGCTTGGTTGTTTCCAAAGTTTCCACCTTGGTTATTTGCAAAGTTGCCACCTTGATTATTCCCAAAGTTATTTGGGGCGTTCCTAAAGTTTCCTCCTTGGTCATTACCAAAGCCTCCTTGGTTATTTCCAAAGTTACCGCCTTGTGGGCCCCCAAAACTACCCATCTGATTGTTGCCCAAATTACTCCCTTGGTTTCTGCCCAAATTACTCCCTTGACTTCCACCTTTCCCGGCGCCTGGGGCTTTGTCAAAGCCAGGTTTTCCTTGGTTGCTCCCTTGATTGAAACCACTACTTCTTGTTTGATTTCCAAAACCCCGTCCAGACTGGCCCACTGCATTCCCAGGACCCTTATTATTGAACGGACCGTCCCCTTGGTTTCCAAATGAGCCACCACCTCCGGCACTTCCCCTGCCACTCTGGCTCTGCCCGTCCCCTTTACTACCGCTGGGGGCATCAAATCTGCTTCCTTTCCCAGGGTTATCAAACCTGCTCGACCTTCCCGGATTATCAAACCGGCTACCCCTCCCTGTGTTATCACCTCTGTTAGATCGACTACTCCCTTGACTATCTGTTCTGTTTCCAGGACCGCCCCTGTTGTCACCCTTGCTATCAGAACCACCACTCATTCCCTGGTTGTTAAATCTGCCACTACCAGTACCCGGGTTATCAAATCGGCTTTTCCTGCTTCCAGAGGCCCCACCCTTACCAGGTGCATCCATCAGACCAGCACCCGGAGCAGGTGTGCCCAACAAGCCAGGCTTTTCCCGGTGGTGTTCAGGGCGTCCTGGTGGCCCCTGATCATCAAATCTACTGCCTCGTCCTCTCCCACCTGGACCTCCAAACCTTGGGTCAAAGCCACCACGGCCAGGAGGATCAAATCTACCCCCACGACCGGGGCCAGGGGGGCCAGGGGGGCCTGGAGGGCCAGGGGGTCTTGGAGGTCCTCCTGGCCCTCCAAAACCTCCTCGCATGGGGAAGTCAAATCTATTGCCCGGGGGACCATCAAACCTGCCTTCCCTCCCACCACCTGGGAACCTGCCTCCTCTCCAGTCACCCCCACCAAAACCCCGCGGGTCTGGGTACTCCTCCTCTCGCCTGGGCCGATCTCTTCTCCCACCACGATCCCTGTCTCTTCTGTCATCATCTCTGGGAAACCTCCTAGGCTCCTCTGAGTGCCTACTGCTCTCCGACATTCCCCTGGGTCGATCTCTCCTCCCCCTGTCGCTTTCCCGAGTCCCACCTCTCATTGGAGGTCCATCCATGAGACCAGGGATACCTGGACCGCCTGGACCTCCAGGGCCAGGGGGCCCCGCCACAGAGTTCAGATACATTATCTGGTGCTGTATTCTGTCATTCATCTCTTGTTGCATTCTCAGCACCTGACCTGGATGCAAGTCTCTACCTCGACTATCTCTGCGGTCGCGCGGCCCCCTGTAGTCCCTCTCATCGCGACCTTCCTTGGCCCGTTTCTTGCGGCTCTCTGCAGTGACCAAATCTCGCTTCCTTTTGCGATAGGCCACCGTCTCATCTTCTTCCATCACTGGAACACTTTCATATGGATACTCCACGTATCTCGGAATTATCTCCCAAGGGGAATCCTCTTTTGCATCTGCATTGGTCACACCATCGTCAATATTCTCTACGAAAAAAAAGAATTTTAAAAAAGGACGAAAGTAAAATCTGTTTTAGAAGCAACATAATGCAATGTTTTTAAATGTTGGAGCAGAAGAAAAACAAAACAAAAAAAATCATGATACTGAAAAAGAAATGGAACCGAAAATAACAGGAATCCCAAAAGAAAACAAAAAAATCACTGTTCTAATTCAAAGAAAATAAATAAGCTTTAAAAAGACTACACCAAAAATTGTTCTTGAAAAACAATTAGAATCAGCCCCATTCATTATAGTTTGTGCAAAATTCACTTGCACTTCCGTAAATGTTCTGATTCTGACCCATTAACTCACTGATTATGGTTCCCGTCACAGGTACGGATCCAACATCCCAGATAGGATGGACTTTTCGTTTTTGTTCTGAGACTTGTGCTTCCATCACATGTACAGAAACGGACTCCAGTGCTAGCTTTACCACTTCTTTCTTTTCGTGCCTAGTTTGGCGGAAGTTGAGCAGTAATTTTTAAAGTAATTGAAGGTGAAGTGTCATGTAGTCAACAGTTTCGTACCTTTCTCTTTTTTTAATCACAGGCAGGAAGCGCCCCGTATGCCATGGTCTTTCAGTTAATGTTACTCACTTCGGGGATTAATATAAAAAGTCAGAAACTGCACCCAGGCTCATTCGATCGCTTGGTGTCGTGTTTGTTCGTCTTGCCCGTCTACAGTCGTTGTATACCAACATTACATGGTGTCAGAAGTCAGTGGTTGACGTATCACAGGTGCCAGAACGCCTCATTTCAAGCCTCCTGAACCGTTTGACTTTTCCAAACCTCATGAGTGGCCCGAGTGGTGACAGCGTATGAGACGATACCGCACAGCCATTAAACTGAGCGAAGAAACTGGAGCAATCCAAGTAAGTGCATCAATTTACGCCAAGCTGAACAGATCTTTAACATGTTCGCGTTCTCTGCTCCCGTCGAAGGCAACGATCCTAGGAATAACTTTGACACTGTCTTAGAGCACTTCGACGCTTACTTTGTCCCCAAGCAGAATCTTATCCACGAAAGAGCAGTTTTATGCACGAGCACAAAACAGTGGGGAAACAATAGAAGAATACGTTAGAGCCCTGTACGAACTTTCAGAACATGTAGGCTTCAAGTACCAAGATGAAACCATTAGGAATAGACTCGTCCTAGGGGTACTAGACAATGAACTGTTACAGCGCTCAGAACTTGAGGCAACTCTTACACTGAAATCAGTCATCAATACAGCCCGCCTTTTCAAGCTCGGGAAGAGTCAGGTCAGCAGCCACCGCCAGCCACGTGCAGCAGTAACAGTAGATGCAGTGCGCTACGGCCAGAGGGGATATTCGTCGCCAGCTCACCCCAGAGGTAGAGGCGGCCAAAGAACAGGTGTAGACTCACAACACAGAGGCGGCCATGCATCACCGTCAACTTCCTCTAACTGCGGCAACTGTGGAAGAGGCCATGCCCAAAACAATTGCCCAGTGCATGGGAAAACTTGCAGAAAATGGGGCAACCGCAATCATTTCGCAGCAGTAGCCGCAATGTCAACAAAATCACTGAATCCGAAACTCCTTTGTTCTTCTTAGGAGCTGTTGACAAAGACTCGGACAGCAATGTCGTTTCTGATGTGAACTTCGGCGAAGTTAGAGAGCCACCATGGCGTGTTACACGGAACCTTGGCGGGAGAGCTACATCCTTCAAGATAGACACAGGCGCTGATGTTTCGATAATGTCGAAGGGCGACTACAACCGTCTCAGTCTTCGTCCAAAGCTGAAAACAATGTCTGCTGAAAACAATGTCTGCAGTTCTTTGCAGTCCTGGTGGAGTCATAAGGAGTGTTGGAGAAGTTATCACGACCACGCAGCATAACAATTGAAACTTTGCGTTCCGTGTTTTCGTCCTTAACAACGACACCGACTGCCTCCTCAGTTGCGACGCTGCAGTTTGTTTGGGACTGATTTCTCAAGACAGAATAGACTCTGCCAACCTCGTGTTCGGCGATGTGGGACCTGAACCTATATGCTGCGAGCCTGTGAAAATCATCTCAAAAGAAGATTTATAGCCATACATCGTGAATGTCGCACGTTGGATTCCCATTCCACCCATGGACAAAGTCAAAGCTAAACTAGATCGCATGGAGGCCGCAGGTGTCATTGAGAAGATCAGCGTTCCAACTGACTGGTGTGCGCCCACAGTCCTGGTCAGAAAAAGGTCTGGTAGCGTCAGAATCTGCACAGATCTGAAAAAGCTCGACCTGTCAGTGAAGTGTGAACGACTCATGCTGCCCACCATAGACGACACCTTAAACAAACTCAGCGGATCAAACAAGTTCAGTAAACTTGATGCAACCTCTTCTTTTTGGAAGTTGGCACTGGACGACGACTCCAAGAAACTGACTACTTTCATTACCCTATTCCGCCGGGACTTCTACAGACATCTCTGCTTTGGAATCACCTGTGCCTAAGATATTTTAGCGCACGATGCAAGACATTCTAGCGGGCATTGACGGTGTTGAGTGCTTTATGGATGACATTCTCCTGCACACTGATGGTCAGGAGAAACATGATGAGCTGAAGAAGAAAGTCTTCCTGCGGCTAAAGGGTCAAGTTGAACAAATCCAAGTGCAAGTTTGACAAGGATGAAATCGATTTTCTGGGCCACATCATCAGCGGGGAGGGTGTAAGGCCAGATCCATCCAAGGTCAGCGCCATCACTGAGATGCAAGAGCCAGAGAACATTACAGACTTGCAACGAGTGCTCGGCATGGTGAACTATTTGGGCAGGCTTGTGCCAAATTTGTCAACAGTCATGAAGCCGCTCAACGATCTTTTGAACCACGATGCTAAGTGGGCCCGGACTCCAGCTCAGTCATCTGCCTTCACTGAAGTCAAGAAGTTGCTATCGTCAGCTCCAACACTCGCCTTCTTCGACATGAGGAAGCCTGTCAGTGTAAGCGCCGATGCAAGCAGCAACGGACTGAGGGGAGTTCTCCAGGACAGGGGTGATCTTCAGCCAGTGGCCTACTGTTCCAGAAGTCTATCTTGGACCGAGAAGAACTACACTCAGATTGAAAAGGAACTGTTGGCGACCACCTGGGCGAGCGAAAAGTTTGATTGTTACCTCATTGGGCTGCCGTCATTCCCACTGCTCACCGACCACAAGCCCATTGTGCCCCTGAACAACTCTAAGGAACTGAATGATGCACCTGTCCGCTGCTAACAGATTCTGATTAGGATGATGCGCTACAGCGGAAAGGCAGAATACGCCCAAGGGAAAAACATGACTGTCCCAGACTCCTTGACCCAAAGTCCTGTAGTGAGCACCGAATCTGAAGAATTTGGCGAAGAAATCAGCGCTCATATGACCTTATGCAGTTGCGAGCGCCGTAAAACCTCAACTAAAACGAAACGAAGAAATCGAGGCTCATGTCACTATAATCCAGATGGCATGGGATGCCACGGATAGCAAATTTGACGAAATCAGAAACAAGTCTCAACAGGATCTAGCGAACAGTGCTGCGATATAGTACACCAGGAGCGGTTGGCCGAAATTCATCCAAAATGTCAGGGCCGAAGCTCACGACCTCTACGCAGTCTCCAGTGAACTGAGCAAAGTCCATGGACTACTAATCAGAGGCAATCACGTCGTAATCCCCAAGGCAATGCGAGGAGAGATGCCCAGCAGGATCCACGACCGTCACCCCGGAGTGTCAAAGTGTCGAGAACGGGCCAAATCTTCCATTTGGTGGCCTGGTCTCAGCTCCGAGATATGGTGCTGACCTCTGCGACTACAAGGGACACGACTACCTGGTACTCGTGGACTACTTCTCACGGTACTTGTAGATGGTGGCCTACATGCCATACACCACCTCAGAGACTTGTGTACAAACTGAAAATCATTTTCGCTTGGTTTGGCATTCTGGCACTACTGATGACCGACAACGGTCCCCAGTTCGTGTCAGACCGTTTCCACAAGTTCGCTAAGGGCTGGGGGTTTAAACACAAAACCAGCAGTCCCCATTTTGCCCAGAGCAACAGCAAGTCTGAGAGAGCAGTCGAGGAGGCGAAGAAAGCCCTGAATCAGGATGACCCACTTCTCGCCCTCCTGATCTGCAGGTCTACACCCGTGTCACCGAAGGGGGTCGAGCCCAGCTGCACTTGCTCTTGGGTGACGCCTGAGGACGACCCTCTCAACCCTACCTTCAAAACCGAACCAGCAGGTCTATAGTATAGGGCCAAGATCGCAGCCAGAGACGATAAGTCGAAGCTTAAGCACAAACAAGCTTTCGACAGACGTCATGGTGCCCAGAACCCCCTGGAGCTGAACCCTGGTCAGTTCGTCCTGCAGAAGCTGGAGAACGACAAGGAGTGGCATGGCCCTGCGATTGTCAAGGAACAGTGTGCACCGAGGTCTTGCATCATACAGTCTGGGGGTAGGGCCTACCGCCGGAACCCCAAACATCTGAAGCCCTACGTCAACCCTCCTTCCATGCCTTCTTCACCTGTTACCACCCAAGAGCCTACTCCGATATCAGTTCCCTTACTTTCGCCACCAGCTGCCCAGCCGGTGGGGCCTGAAGTCACACCACCATCACCTCAGCCAGTTGCCACAACAGCCAGTCCTACTCCGCCAACTACCCGAAGTGGGCGAGTGGTCAGGAGACCCTCTTGTTACCATGACTGATGTTCTTGCGACCCAATCGTATCTTTTCTGTGACTGATTTTACTTTTTTTCTTTATTCTTTGCTGATTACCCAAAAGCTGTGTAGATCTACCTGTTCGAGGTCATTCATTTTCTTAGTTTCGTTATCTGGACACTATGCAGTTTTTATGAGTGTGACAAAGACAATTTGAAATGTGGTCATTCTGAAGTGCCAAAGAACTTTGTTGAAATGTTTCACCTAGTTCTCAAGTGCAAAAAAAAAAATCCCCAAACAAACAACATTGCCCCAAATCTTCAAAGGCAATTGAACTCTGTGTGTAAATTTGGTTAAAGTTAGAACATTCCCCTTCGGTTATCATCAGAGACTCAAAACCAATAATCTTTTATCCATTTTGAGGTTTTTCTTTTTCTTCAATATTAAAAGGGGAGATGCGGTAGTCACAGTTTCGTACTTTCCCTTTTTTTAACTCACTTCAGACTGGGCCCTTTCACCAGTCACAAACGTTGAAGACTGGCGTTTTTCGAAGTATTTCAATAAATCACCACAACTCTCAGAATTACCCTTCTATTGTAATTATTTTTTGACACAGTAAAGTAACATTCAAGCTTAATCTAACACAAAAAACTAAAGTTGTCTAAGTCTAATACTTTAATTTATATGATTTTTAAAAAATTGGCATGAATTTGATTTTCCGAAAAAATTTCCAGTCATGACAGGTAGGATGAAATTCACAACAACAACAAAAATAAAAGTTCAAAGTGTTGTATCTTGATTTGTATGCATGTGTGAATGTTTGGTGCAAGTATAAAAGCTGGTCTGTGCGTTGATTCAGACCCATGCACTGAATTACATGAGACAGATGTACGGCACGACGTTGTGATTTCGTTGCGCGAACAACAACACCAGTACTAGTGCTAGATCTAGCCCTAAAACTACGACTCGGGCCGTGTTCGGGTACATATCCAGGATCCTAACTATCAGACACATCATATTTTGAGACACTAGAACTAGTAAAACGTACAGAAGTATAGAAAACGGCGAAATTATGTGATTCTTTTTCATGCAACTTCTTCGACCGTTACTACGACGCGACTGTCGGATTACTATCAGCTGTATAGAAAAAAACAAAGCGCGAGTTCCGGTCAGTTCAACCCCAGTTGGGGTCACTGCCCTTCACCTTCAATAACTTAAAAACTATGGGTCCCAGAGATACGAAACGAAGTCTAAGTAGCTCAGGCTTGGCCAAACAAGGGTACGAGGCGGGTCCCGCGATCCGTACGTGATTTGTAGAGTGAAAAAAAAAAATCCAAAGTTGGTCACGCAGGGCTCGTGGGAGCCGTCGCGGCGGGGGTCACGCAACTGTTGTGTGAACCGTCTGAAGTGAGTTAATCACGGGCCGGAAGCGCCCCCTATGCCATGGGTTTTCCGTTAATGTTACTCACACCGGGGATCAACACAAAAAGTGAGAAACTGCACTCATGCTCATTTAATCGCTTGGTGTTGTTTGTTCATCTTGCCCGCCTACAGTCGTGTGTGTATACTAACATTACACGAAGGACAGTAACCCCTATTGGGGTTGGACTGACCGGAACTAGCAATGTTTTTTCTGTTGCCGATACTTCTGTTAATTTTACTAGGTCTAGTGACTCAGAATATGATGAGTCTGATACTCAGGACCCTGGATATATACCCGAACACGGCCCGAGTCATAGTTTTAGGGCTAGATCTAGTACTAGTACTGGTGTTAGCACAACAAAATCACAACTTTGTGCATCTAATTCAGTGTATGGGTCTGAATCAATGCAAAGCCAAGCTTTTATATTTTCACCACACTCAAACATGCATTCAAATCAAAACAGAACACTTTGGACTTATATTTTTTTGTTGTCATGAATTTCATTCTGTCACATCTCTAGAATTTTTTTCTGAAAATCAAATTCATGCCAATTTTTTTTTACATCATGAAAATTAAAATATAGAACTTTTGTACTTTGCATTTTTGGGTACTTTACTGTGTCAAAAATAATTAGAATAGGGTAATTCTGAGAGTTGTGGTGATGTTTTGAGATACCCATAAAAATGCCAGTGTAGTCTACCCACTAAACTTGCAGAGCAGACCAGAAAGCATACCTTCCTTCCAGTCAAGTGCCACAGTTTTGCATCCGTTGATCTCAATGGTAACGTAGGTGCTGCACAAGCCCTTGATGTTACCCGCAGACGCTACATTCAAATCACCGTACCTGGGGGATTTTAGGGAAAGCTTTCAATACTCGTCAAGCCAAACCTCACTGCTTACATATCAATTAAGATAAGAAGAAAAGAAACTCTTAATTACAAATCTCCCAGCAATGTGTGCCAATGTTAGCACTCAGATCCTCAATCTTGTCTATCCAGTTCATGTTAAATGTTCATTTTATGCAAAAAAATTCTTTTCCATGGATTCGTTTCATTGATGCATATCTACATCAGCACAGAATTTTTTGCTTCAAATCCTCTGCAGTCAAACTCAAGTAGGACTCAAATGTTTGTAAGCCACTTATCAGGCACTATTACATCTCATAACAACAGCAACAGTGGGAGCAAGAAGTGTTGACACAGGACAAAAAGGTGTTTAAAAACTCCACAACAATTATTATACCTGAAGGTCCCTCCAGGTACTCACACAGTAAAGCAAAATATACCAAGGTTAAGAAATCATACAATACTCATGTCAGATGCTTTCCACGTAAAGGTCGTTGAGGTGAGCCTTGGTGGTCGGCATTCAGTGGGTCAGATTCCCAGGGTAACAGGGCGGATCTTTCACCGACACACTGTGCCCTTTCACAGCCGCCTTTACTCACCTACGACCATTTCCAGTCGTTAGGATGTCCAAATTATTAGCAACAGGAAAGAGCACTTTGAGCAGCTCTTTTGAAGTGCCTTCAGGCAAATATTTCACATACAGAGACCGTTTCTTCTCCTTCCCTGAAATTAATATAAATTGATAGTGTGGTTGGGGGGTGGGTCAAGCAGAAAAGGGGGCATTTGTGACTGCATGTCATATTGCAGGGTTGATGCATCAAGGCAATCATCATCATCATCATTACACAATGAAAAACATCTGGGCAAAACCCCTGTTCATCTCTTATTTGCACCAGCACACAAGGATGATATTTTCTTTATGAGACCTCTTGGTAGGGATAATTCCCATGTCTTCAGTATTTTAAAAAGGGTATCATCACCCTGAAGGTACAAAACTCCCTGAACAAATATCACAGGAAAAATTTCAACTGAGCGCAGTCATCTTTATGAAGACCTACCTGGTGTATCTGAGGATACAAATGACAAATCACTAAATACGACTGCTTTTCCACTCAAATCAAGACAGAAAAAGCAACGAGGGCTGTTACATTTAAATCACTGGCAAAACGTGTTGAGAGAGGTATGGACCTGGAAATTGAAAATAAAATAATGGAAAATGTGTAACTTACCTTTGATCCTTTGGAATGTAGGAGAGTGCACATAATCCAATAAGACAGTAGCTGAGGAAAATATAAACATCCACTTAAAAGTTTAAGAAAAACCTTTCATCGAGGATACCGAATTATACAAAATTAAATGTGAAGCCGAAATATGACATGATTGTGCGCACACACACACAACATCCCTCTGGAGCTATTGGCACATAAATTTCAGAAAACAGCATGTAATACCAGTTAGCCATGATAGATCAGTATTCCTTGTTTTCTTTTAGACTAGACTAGAAATTATTCTTTAGAAATAGACCCATTACAAATTCTGTTTTAACTTTTTAGATGCACCTTCCATTTTTACTAGACTTGGTGCTATTGGTTCTTGAACCATCACATCTCTCAGGTGAGTCCCAGAAAGTTATTGCTTGGTCACAAAGCATACATATAATAGAGTTAACAATTTATACGAAAGCAGAAAGTATATATTGTGACTATTCTAGCCCCTGGGCCAGTTGAAAAAGGCATGTGCCATAATTAGTTTCTCTAGGGAAACATTTGTGTAAAATTTAAGCTATTGCCATTAATCGATTTAATAAAGCTGCTATTTCAGTGTACATGATATAAGTTTGATTACCCTGTTTGAAATGATCAATCATTGAATTTGTTCTCTCTTATGGTCTAAATCTCCCTAGAACCAGAACCATAATGTAGCCCAACTACAAGCCTACTGATCATATTTCAACTTTTTGGGACGCCAACAACTTTTTTAAAAAAAAGAAAGAAGATCAAAGTCCTTAATTTACTACCCAGTACAACTGTGACAAAGGTGACATTGACCTCTTGGATGGACTTGCTTCTTTCTACAAGTATCATCTCAAAACGAGGAGATGGTACATGTTATCTCTTTTTTCTGTCTGAACATTGCTGTCCTTGTCATTGCGGACTGCTTTATCACAAGTCTATGAAATTGTCAGTATTTCAAAGTAGCATTGCAACATCCCTTGTGGAAGCAAAAACTGCAGGAACAGGCCAACTATCTCTGACTCAACCATCAAATCCACATGAGCCAAGAACTAGTGCTCCACAGACCAGTTTGCATGAATACAATTGCACAGAATGAACCACTAACAGCAGCATATATATGCCAAAAAAAACCCAACAACCAACAAACAAATGTGATGCTAACAGCTTCGTTGCTTGCTTGAAGGGCTGAACTTCTGACCTGTATGTAATATAATATATTCTCCAACAGTGCTGCTTTTTGAATCAACAATAAATAGTTCTATTACTGTCATTTCAATCACCTAGTACACTGCTAATATATTTCAAGCGATGGGTGCTTTATATGGCACAAAAAGTTTTTCATTCCTCAAAAGTCTAATATGGCACATTTTCAAACTCATAAAAAATTAATTTGTCAAAAATAGAAGCTTACATCCATCTATCTGATGTCCATGTACCCGTTCAACAAATTTCTGCATTTTTAAAAAACTAGGAACTAGAATCAGGTTGAGGGATATAAAGAAATCTAGAAATTATAACAAAAATATAAAGTACAACAGATGTCTAATTTTAAGATAAAATACTAACACAGAACAATCATGATGCTACACAAGACAGTATGCAGAGATAAACTTAGACCAATTATGATGCAGAGTGGTGAAATCAGGGGCTCACCAAAATAATGAAATCCGAAAATCTGCATTTTCAGCCAGTTTGGACATTTTTTTCTCTCGAAGTTTTGATTTTTTGCTCAACACCTTGTATGTCCATTCAAAAACCCTTTTATGTGTGGATTTTAAGGAAAAACATTGATTACAATTTAAAAAATTTAAAAAGAAGAAAAATGTGCAGTTTCCAAGGACAAGTCACCAAATTTTTGCAGTCATTTTCTCACTAATTTTACTTCTGAAACCAGGCGACCTCACCTGATACAGTAAATATCTCGACTTCTATTCAAGATAAACAGGTATTTTTTTTCTTCAAAAGCAAGGGAAATGAACAATCATTAAGATGATACCAATAACTCAATATGCCGAAAAAACTGATGAGAGCCTGATTCCACTGCGTCGTGACACTTTAATAGAAAGCCTTAGAAGATAACTAACCTGTCTCCAAAACTTCAGTGAAAGGAATCTGCTCTGAAGCCTCAGAATCTTCCTCAGAATTTTGGGTGTTTTTCAGCATTTCCAATTTTTGCTCGTTCCGTCCACGGTGAGTAAACTTCACTGTGACATATCGGTAATACATGGGGGCATGAAGCAGTTTGGACATTACAGTCATCGAGTCGTTGCAGTTTTTCAAACATAGATTGAAAGACCTGAGGAAAAAATGTTTTATCTACTCAGCAGTCGGAAATAAAATAAAGCCAACTGTCCCACAATTGAATATTCATCAGCAGCAAAAAGGCTCCAACTTTCTTTAAAAAACAAAACAAAACACACACAAAAAAACCCAACCTCATACCAGATAAAATCGTGAGAAAAGACAATATTTTGTAAAATTAGGCAAACTCACAGTAATGCACCCAGTATCATTTAGATCACAATGCCCAACAAAATACTGTGTTGTGCTTTCAGGATATATGGCAAATTAAAAACAACAAATGAACTAAACAAAACATATCTGTCTGCTTTAACTTTAACACACAAACATGGGTCATTCCACCAGTATGGTTTTCCTTTGTAGCATCCAAGTCAAAAGTTCATCATTTTTGACAAATTATGTAACCAAGCTGGTCTTAAAGACCAACATTTTATTGACGATGTCTGAAAGATCCAGACCTCTTTGACATTCCAATGAAACAAAGTAAATGATGAAAGAGTGACCCCCATAATTGTGTGGAATGTTACAAATAAAAATAAATTCAGATTAAATTAAAGACATTTGTTTCTGTCTTCAATGCTTCTTTCTGTTAAAACGCTGACTGACAAAATTATTTTTTCCAGAAGTCAAAGGCCTTAACGAAAACCTGTCATATATGAGAATCTCCTCGCCACCCCCTTGATATATTATATTTCTCTATAAAGGAAACCTTCTCAAACCAGAAACGGAAAGATAAATTCCATTCCTTCAAAGGTTTTTTACCCAAGACAGAAAATGCTTTGCCCGCTCAGCCCTGATTTGAGACAAAACTCCCAAGTTTGGTTGCATCAGCACTAACATACTGTACGCGCTATGCTGCCGGGCAAAGAAGGGGGACAGGAAAGACAGCCAGGGGGTAGATGTTACCTCACCCATGTGAGCCCTGAGCAGTGCCGATGGTCAGGGTGGTGTGGGTGTGAGCATATAATCTTTACCTGTCTCTCCAGTCAAAAAAAAATTACTCAAAGGACAGCAACACAAACACACCAAAAAAAAAGAAAAATATGTCACACTCAAAGATATGAACTGTTCTATTTGCCAGGATTGTTAGAGAACAAAAACAAAGCATTTAAATAATAATATATAAGTGAACTACAAAACCGGAAAAAACAAAATCCATTGGCAAATGATTAAATAATAAACATAAACAACTCACGACTTTCAAAGGACAAACAGGGTACTCACCCCATTCCATAATTTTGCTTATCAATATACATCCAAGTTTCCTGAGCAATTTTTGAAACAGACTCAAGCACACACATGCGGATGTCAGCCTGGTCAATTGGAAATATCTCCATATGCCACTCCCATTTTTCTGGAACAGATTAAATGTACTTTGTATAGCACCATACATAAAACTCCCCATAAAGATGTAAAATGAAACAACTGTTTCCATTGACAATGATCGAAACAAAAATTTGGAGTCACTGCTTTTTTAAATATTACAGGCCTGGACCCGCCAGCCAACTGACCAGCTGATCAGTGGCGGTGGGTAGTGAAGGGCCCACCCCCATGGCGGTGGGTAATGAAAACCCATGATTGCACGCAATGAACACAAGAGTGATCAACTTGGTGGCTTGCTAGTAATGTTAGTTTATCCAATCACTGTTGCCACCGCTTACAACTACAGTAACCTAACAGCCAATCAAATGTCTTTAGGACTCAGGAAAGGTTGAGCCTGTTCTCATGGCCCCTCGTTAATGAAAGCCCTCTTGTAAAATGGTAGAAGACTTAGAAAAAATAACACTGCATGGAGGGCTCACGCTCTCAAAGCCCTGACAATGGGGTGAAAGTTTACGACACACTTTCCCCCCGTGACACAGTTACCTACGCTCCCACTGGACCTTTGCTACGTGCTGTCTGCTTACTGCTTTCGACTACACGGCCTAATCCAGCTCTGAGCTCGTTGAGTGCTGTGTATACATGTTTGTGTGCCGCAGAGATTTAAGAGTTATTAGCATTACATCAAACCACTTTTGAGGCGAATTTTTCATCAGATGAAAATTAATTAGCGAAGTTTGAAGGTGAAACGGTCTCGTCCCCAGCATCCAAAAGAATTTAACATAGAACAAAGAGAAATAAGACGTACAAAGGTTACTCTTCTCGTTTGAATGGTTCTCAAAATGCTGTGGCTCGCCGTGAGTATGAAAAAACCACCACTGTTTTGTTCTTATTGTTTGTTATTTGAAGGTAAAGAAGTGAAAGCAAGCTAAGCCCCACCCACCGCCTTTGCAGCTGATGACAAAAACTTGCTGACTTTTCGAGTTCTACCCCCCAGCCTGTTATGAAATACATTTAAAATCATAATGAATGTGTGCAGCTACTTGAGAAGAAAAGCATCAGTGCAGTGTGGCATAAATGTAACTGTATTTCAACAGTCTTTTCAGTCATATGGCAGAAAGAAATCAAAATCCTTGGCACTACAGTGGAGGAGGGAGCAAACCCTTTTGAGTCTCTATTTTTCATCTAAAAATAAATAATAAATAGCTTTTGTATAGCGCATTTCCTCACTCGAAAGCAAGCTCTATGCGCTTTAACACTATATATTACCCCAGCAGACCATAGAACACTAAGAAACATTCTCAGCTTCCCGGGAAGCATACACTGCAACCAGCTGGTTAAGCGCTCAAACACTAACAAACTGACAAGATCTTTCACTGTCTATAGTTGGGTACCCATTTTCACCTGGGTGAAGTGAGGAAAAATTAGTGTAAAGTGCCTTTCCCATGGACACAACGTCGGGCCCGCGGCTCGAACCCCAGAACCCCACGATTACGAGTCCGGTAGCCTAACTAGTGTGCAATGGTGACCAGGGTTGGGTAGATTTAAATCAGTTGATTTTTTAAATTTTAATCAACTTGATTTTAAAAATAAAAATCACTGACCACTGATTTAAATCACTTTTCAAAAAAATGTATTCAGTTTTTACATATATTAAAACATTCAGAATTCCTTTCCTTGGTTTTATTAAACAGAATATATATGGTTTAGTAGACTAATATAATCATGCTTAAAAGTCTGCTTTCCCCCCTGTCACTGTAAAATAATACAGTTCTCAATTATTATTTTTTTCATAATTGAAAACCATGGTTGGGTTGATTTTTTAAAATTTAAATCAACTTGATTATTTTAAAAATAAAACTCAGTGATTTAAATCACTTTTTAAAAATGTATTCTGTTTTTATTTACATCTTTTAAAACATTCAGAATTCCTTTCCCTGGTTTTATAAAACAGTGTCACTGTAAAATAATACAGTGCTCAATTTACTTTTTTTTTTCATAAATAATTGAAAACCAGGGTTGGGTCGATTTAAATCAGTTGAATTTTTAAAATTTAAAACAACTTGATTATAAAAATAAAACTCAGTGATTCAAATCACTTTTTAAAAATGTATTGTTTTTACATATTTAAACATTCAGAATTCCTTTCCTTGGTTTTATGAAACAGATATAAGGTTTAGTAGACTAAAATAATCATGCTTAAAAGTCTGCTTTCCCCCCTGTCACTGTAAGTAGTAAAATAATACTGTATTCAATTTACTTTTTTTTCATAATTGAAATAAGCATTTTCCTTTTCTTTTCAGACAAACACAAGCACGCGCACACACACACACACACTGTAATGAAACGCAAATTTATCTATGCATAATTACCACCCCCCCCCCCCCCCCTTCCTTTTAGACTGACATTTTCTTCATTTTTTGTCTGTAGCCATAACTCACAGATATATAGCAGATTAAGGCTTTCTAAAATTGCAGTTGCTTAAATTAATCATTAGTTAAAATAAAGACAATGCATTTTGCACTAAAAGGACTTACTTTTAGCCACCAAAAATCCCAAACTGTGTCGACATTTAAAAAATGTTTTTTTTTAATTTAAAAAATCCGATTTAAATACAAAAAATCTGGTTTAAATCCAAAAAATCGATTTTTTAAATTTTTATTTAAAAAAAAATAAAAATCACCAACCCTGACCAGATGGTGACTTGATCAGCACACATGTAATTACCCAATGTCAACATTAGCTAAATTGGTCAACCTTACAGCAAGAGAGTTAACACCCCCCCCCCCTAAAAAACAAAACAAAACCCAAACAACCGTTAAAATATATAGATCTTACTCTGCCTGCACATAAGCCACTGACTAGCACAACTTCAATTTAAAAGCACAAACAAAAAAACTATGAAAGGCAGTTTGTAGCTCACAAAACCAAGTTACTGGGAACTAAACAGGGTTGGTGATTTTAAAATTTTTTAATCGGATTAAAAATTTTATTTTTTTAAATGTCCATACAGTTCGGAATTTTTAGTGGCTAAAAGTATGTTTTTTTTGGTGAAAAATGCATTGTCTTATTAATTTATTTTAACTAATGATTAATTTAACTCTTTGAACCCCATTGGACGCTCGGCAGTAATAACCCTGTTCCCCATCGGATGCTGGGAGCGTCCAGTACTAGTGACATCTGTTTCGTTCTATTTAGTGCTAGTTTTTGCTTGTTTTTTGGAACTATTCCCGAAACAAGTTCTTTTCAGTAATGACTAAGCCTTTGTTCCCGCTATTTAGAAGTTGGAGGCAAGCTTTTGGGGTTATAAAGAGACATAGTGTATTAGGTTTAGGTGACTGCAAAAGAAAGCCTTAATCTGGTATATCAGTGAATTATTCATGGCAACAGACAATAAAAAAAAAGAGAAATATCAGTCTAAAAGGAAGGGGGGTTACCGTTATTATGCAAAGATAGCCTAAACTTGCATTTTATTACAGTGTGTGCATGTGTGCAAGCTTGTTTTTGTCTAAAAAGAAAAAGCTAATTTCAATTATATAAATGAGAAAAAAAGTAAATTGAATACTGTATTAAATTATTGTGTTTCTTTTCAAAACCTTCAACCCCTTACAATTCAATGGGTAATTTCAACATGATCTAAATTGTTGGTTATATTGTAATACTGAATATATTGTATGAAAGTGACTTACTTTCAAAATTCATTCAGTTGCCATTTTGTTCCTTGCAATAATCTCTGAATTATTATTTTTGTTACATCATTTGTGATTTATTTGATAATGTTTTTATTCTCCTCAGTCACAATTAATTTGATCTGACATCCAATAAATTATTAGGTTTACAATTTTAAATAAATCTAGAGATTTCCTTAGTCTGTGTGTGTGTGTGTGTGTGCGCGCGCGCACTTGTGTTAGTGTTTGTCTAAAAAAAAAATGTTTTAATGCTAATTTCAATTAATTATGAAAAAAAAAAGTAAATTGAATACTGTATTATTTTACAGTGACAGGGGGGAAAAGCAGACTTTTAACCATGATATTAGTCTTCCAAACCTTATATTTGTTTTATAAAACCAAGGAAAGGCATTCTGAATGTTTAATATGTAAAAACTGAATTAAAATATTTTTTTTTTAAGTGATTGAAATCACTGATTTTTATTTTATTATCAAGTTGATTTAAATTTTAAAAATCAACTGATTTAAATTGACCTGACTTAAAAAACAACCCAACCCTAGAACTCAGCGAGGGAAGGTGGTTGAAAGCCTTCGGTTGAGTGTATTGAGATTCAGTATGGGAAAGAAGGAAAACAGATGGATTAAGTCTTTTTAGCTGAAAACAAAACAAGTGAGTATACACTTACCTTTAAGTGAAGATCCACTAAAGGCAGAGAATGTATGAGGTTTGTATGGCACATTCACTTCCTTTTCCACAGATTCTCCTATGCATTCCAGTCCTTCTGGAACAGGAATCAGGTCATCTATTGCTGGTTCAGCTTCTTCCTCTAATTTCTCCTTCCCAACATTCTCATCATTCTGTGTTTCTGCAGCATTTCCATCCCCTTCCATTTCTGCTTCACCAGTATGCTGTTCATCCTTGATATCCTCCTTTACATCTTCTGTCCTTTGATCAGAACGTTCCTGTTCTGTAAGCTCAGAGTCTTGAGACTGATCGGCAAAGGACTCTTGAGACTGATCGGCAAAGGACTCCTGAGACTGGTCAGCAATAGACTCTTGAGACTGATCTGCAGTGGACGCTTGGGACTGCTCAACATCCTCTTCTTGCTTTTCTACCTGGGGCTCCTCTTTTGGGGCTGAAGCTTTTGTCTTTCTCCCTCTGCGAGCTGGCATTGTTCGATCGACTGAAAAATTAGCAAATAAAAATGCTGTACAGAGAAGGGATACAATGAATCAACAACAGTCATTTAACTGCTTTGTTGCTATATTACATACATGATGGCAACAAAAATGAGTTATTTTTAGATTTGAGCTGTACCATGATGTCGTAGAAGTTGGCTAAATTTACCATTCCGAGTGCCTATAAGAAAGACATTACATCTGTCCCACTAATCATCTGGCTCTAATTTCTCTATATATAGATTTAGCCACAAGAACAACATCGATTCGTATTTTAGGACAAAAAAATGTGCAAATCAGTACTAAATTTGCTTGTATTACTTTACTTGCTAAGCTTACGAGCAATCGATAAAAGCAGATAAAATTTTGCAGACGAAAGTGTTCTTTCGTAAAATGTAAAACATCAAAATAACTTTAAAAAGGCAGACCTGCCACTCTATGAAATCTAAAAATCAGGATTTCAGAGTGAAAAAACCAGGATCTGGTGAAAAACATTGGGATCAAAAGCAAAATCAGTCATAAGGGGTACTGGGGAAGGGGGGTGTGTGGGTGTGTGTGTGTGTGTGTGTGTGGGGGGGGGGGGGGTCCAGGTTCCCTTTTAACAGGCAAGCATGTTGAAATATCATCGCTTATTTTCAAAATCATCCTTTTTTGGACACATGAAAATTGACCCCGCTCTTAATCTACGTACCATGTTAAAGAGATTTATGAGACAAAACTGTTTCTGTTTCTTTCATATGAAAATACACATAATAACCTTTGATTTGATGCTAAAAACAGGAAGATATCTTTACAGGTTGCGAAGTTATGTACATTTTTGTCCTCCTTTAGTCACAAAATCATCATCATCAATGCCTTTCACCCCTGGCAGGGTATAGGCCACATACAAGCTCCTTCCATTTATCTCTGTCCTGGGCCATCCTTCCAAGCTCGTTCCAAGTGAGCTTCATTTCTCTCATGTCCCTTTCCACGCATCTCCTCCATGTTTCCAGTGGCCTACCCCTGCCTCGTGCTCCTTGTGGGTTCCACTGCAGTGACTGTCTTGTGATATTTCCGCTGGGCTTTCTTAAGGTGTGTCCCATCCATCGCCACTTTCTTAGTCCTATTTCTACTTCTATATTCTTTTGTCCTGTCCTTTCCCACAGTTCTTCATTTCTTATTCTATCCTGCCACTTAATTCTTAGAATACTCCTCATACATCTGTTGATGAAAGTCTGGACTTTATTCAGTACTGTTTTCGTTGTCTTCCAAGTTTCGCAGCCGTAGAGGAGCACAGACTTGACGTTGGAGTTAAAGAGTCGAATCTTGGTGCGCAGCGAGATGTTGCTTGCTTTCCAAACTTTTGATAATTGCTTGAAGGCTGACCTTGCCTTGGCGGTTCTTGCTTTAACATCTGCCTCGGCTATTCTCACCCGGAGCGCGTTCACCAAATTTTGCGTTCACCCTAAACCAGAGAATTCTACACTGTGATAACAGAAAAATTGTAGAATTCTGTGCCGTGAACAAACGTTCCATTACAATTGTAGCCTACTAAAAGCGTACAATTTTGTCTGTGGGCAGTGGAGAGAGAGAGAAAGAGAGAAAGGAGTAGCGCGAGAATTTCCGGGCAAAACAAAATGGCGACCCGCGTAGTTCGGCTCGATTCGAAAAGTTAAATAGCCGTAGCATCTTTGTAGACAACCAAATTTATTTACTTCTGTGTTTTAACATCATTTTTTAACTTTGTTTTGGTCAATTTGATCGTCCACACCGATAGACAGTATTCAGATCAGAAAGAGACAGAGAGAGAGAGAAGAGGGGAGGAGTTCATCTTGCGAGAACTTCCGGGCGGGTGAGAATAGCCACTTAAAAAAAACCCACCTGAATTTGACCACGATTTGATGTTTTGCAATAAGGTTTGAAAGGCTATCTCTCCATATCGGCACGCAAATCAAAAAGTAATCGTTTAGACTTAAAACCAGAAGTAATCGTCATTGGGGTCAAAACTAAGATTCAAGATCTAAATCTAGATCTAGATCATCTAGATTCTAGAAGAATTTCCCTGTCACAAAAGTCAGGACCACCATATCCAAGTAGTGCCCATTATGTATAATGCTAAAGATAGTGTTGTTTTCAGACTTCACACCGCTTCACTCGGTGGCAATTGCCAACGCCAACGCTACATTTCATAATTCATGTCATGTGGCTTGGCAAGAGAATAAAACATGTTGCAAAGTGTTAACTCTTGCAACAAAAACAAACCCAAACAACATATATATCTAGACCTAGATCTAGTTTACCTTGTTGCAACCAAACAATTCAGCAATAAAATAAACAGAATTCGGTATCAACTGCCCGGGTCAAATTAAGTGCAATGTTTGTAGCGTTGCACGAGATAGCTAGCCGCCATTAAAAACGCTGAAGAGTGTTTCTAAAAAGTTGTTTGGGTTTCATTAGGAAAAAAAGTCAGACTGATATTGTATACAAAGTCATTAGATCTATATGCCTCTTGAAAACTCAATTTTAAATATTTTTTCAAATTTAGAAACTCAAATAGTTTAATAACCAAAATACAGCGCTTACGGTTATTTTTAATGGTTTTTATTTAAAGTTTTTAACTGTTGGTTTTACAGGAGAAGAATGTTTTTAAAAGCATCATGGGCCTATCGATGTATTATAATTACCGCCAGAGAGTATTTTCCGTTACCGCTTCTGTTGTCAAAAGATGCCACCCAAAATAAAATAAAACAAACACGCACAGCACATCGGTTATCCATTATATGAGCTGGAGGGGAGTAAAAAATACTAGATCTTTTGTTTAGTAAGGGATAAGAAATTAATATGCTACAGAATGCATTTTAACCCTTTATGTTTTAAAATATATGAGAATCTAGTAGAACTGGCTCCCATTGTATTTGACTTGAAGTAATCTAACTTATATTCTAGATCTAATGTAATAAATTATTCATTTATCAACAGTTTATGACTCAATACATATCATGAAGGCAGAAAAGAAAATAAGCTTTTCAGAAACGCAGTGGCTACGTTCACGTCGCCGTGAACGTAGTCCGCAGGCTAGGTTCACGGCGCCGTGGACGTAGTCTGCAGGCTAGGTTCACGGCGCCGTGAATGTAGTTGGCAGGCTACGTTCACGGCGCCCTGAATACAGTTTGCAGGCGCTGTTGAGGTTACGTTCACGGCACTCAAGCTTTGTTTAGATGGAGCGTCCACTGCCGGTTTTAGTCAGTGACTACAGTGACGTATATTTAATATCTTGGCCAGCTTCAGATGTTCCATCCCATGAGATGAAGGAAAACGAAAAAGCCTGGGAACCGACGCAGAGAGAAAATGACGGGAATAATTCTGATCATAATAGCAAACACCCCCCCACCCTCTCTCTCTCTCTCTCTCTCTCTCTCTCTCTCTCTCTCTCTCTCTCTCTCTCTCTCTCTCTCTCTCTCTCTCTCTCCCTCTCTCTTTCTCTCTCTCTGTGTGTGTGTGTGTGTGTGTGTGTGTGTGTGTGTGTGTGCGTATTATGTCTTTGGCCCAGAACGAGATATTCATTCTTTCATTCAAACTATTTGCAAGCGTATTTCATATCAAGTATGCATTTTTATACTGTAAAGAGATTATAAGGAAAGTTGATAGCACGGTTATCTTTTTTAAAAATTTCTTGCAACTACGAGACAAAAACTGAAAACGAAAGCTCTCAATATTATTGCCAGGTCTCGTTATCTGAGAAACTCATTATTGGTCAATGTTCCCTTTACTCAACTTTACTGTCTTATTTTGTTCTGCACCAAAACTGCGCTTGTGTTTATATTTACAGACAGACAGACAGACAGACAGACAGACAGACAGACAGACAGACAGACAGACACAGAGATTTTAGATCAGTTCCTACACTCAATTCATCTTTTGTTTCAGCCTCATAATCGTCTCTTTCAGTGACATTTGCTGATGCTGATGCTAGCGTCTAATCAACGAGATGAGAGTGCTGTTTCGGCACTACCCCAGTTTCAACAGTTATCGAGCTCAGAAAATGCTTTTTGAACACCTTTTCAAAATACTTTGATGCCCTAGCCTCAATTTCTCAAGATTACCCCAGCCTACTGCAATGGCATCCACATTCTTCAGCACATCACACGACAGTTCGAACATTGATAGGCACTAGTGGTGTAGGCATAGTGATGGAACATATCATGAGAGTGATAATAGTGAAGAGGAACCTTTAAATGAGGATGAACTTGCTCCTCACACCATTGCCAAAAAGAAAATTTCACCATGAAGAAAGATAAAGAAGTAGGTGACAATGACGGGTATGCATTTTTTATTCTGCCTTTGAGAACCCACCATCAAATAAAGTTTCAGCAAAATTTACAAGGAAGTGCAAAAGCTATGGAGGCTGAAACAATATTCACAAAATCAGCGCAACACTGAGGTTTAGTATACAGCAGGATGCTGTGTGACGGAGATGCCAAATCTCATCAGATGCTCAATTTTTTTAATGGCATTTATGACTTTGAAATTGTAAAAGATGACTACACACATCGCATTAGCAAAAGTATATTCAATGCCCTTCAGAGCTTCCAAAACACCAACAACGAAGAGCTGAACAGAAAACTAATGAAAATTGAAAAAAAAAGCAGTTACAAATGCCTCACAAAACCTGGACGTAGCAGTTACTTGTGTTCATTAGTTTTAATTTTGTTTTTGTTCAGGAGCTGTTGGTTTCTTACCGAGCTCGAAACCTCTTTTGCACACAGACCCTGTAAGATTTGAACATCTGTCAGTGAGGAATAGAGGCCACGAAACTGCCAGGTGCCCCCAATTCAGACCCTTTGTTTGCAACTCTCTGTGACATTTGAAATGAAATGACTGATAAATATGTCCAAAACTAAATAGAATTGATGCCCAAAGGTTTCGTGCACAACACAAAACCAATGGTTCCTACGCAAAATAACAATGAACACAATTAGTGTTGAGTCGAAGTTTTGTGTGGTATCTGTGATTGCTCTGTTTTCCGTTATGTTTGAAACCATCGTGACAAAATATCGTAATAAAATATAGTTTATTGTAAAGACACAATTCTCCATTCATTGGGCATTCAATATATCGCCATTCGATCAATATTGATACTCTTCAATAAATGCGCAAAGACAATTTTACGTTTCTTTGATTTTGCACAATTTTGCCAAGCCTTATTTTTCTTAAGGTCAATTTTGAGTGACAATATCTCGGGCGTCTCTTAAAATAGATTAAATTATATTAATGTGTCAGATGATGAAGAATTTATTTAGCTTTAAATTGGAATGCTGCATGAGTGGGTAATGCAAGGTTTTAACACGATGACTGGGTGATTACATTTTCAAGTTTCTTTTGGACGCCACTGTATAACGGACTACGTTTACTATTTACAGTAAGTTTTGCACCTCCAAACTTTTAGGAGTTTTCTCTCAAATTGGGCTCTTTCAGGGGGGGGGGGGGGACACAAAAATCTATCATGCGAAAAGCTGTTAATATATCGTCATAATTTTCGGTATACTGATAGATGAAACATTATTCTAGTGTGATAAGTAGTGACGTCAAAAAAGATCTTGAATAAATGATTTTATTATACATTTAATCCGTTGTTTGGATCTCAGATTTTTTGTGGTCAAACTATTCCCATATTTAGGACCTCGATTCTGGAAAAGTTTTTCCTCCTTCATCAAAAATGCCAAGTACATCCTCCAAAACAGCCATGGAAGGCTGAAAAACCACTTATTGCAACATTTAAAACCATTTATAACCTTATGATAGAATTTTTAGAAATGTGTGCATTTTCTATATATGACATTCCAATATGGCAGGCGTTACCTTAGCAACACAAAAGAATTTTCAAAATTTTACTTCATGACTTAATTATCCACTCTTTTTATATTGATGCTAACCAATAATGCTACCACATTTGTAAGCTTAGTTTCTTGTTCTTAACGAATTTCAAAATTTCCCCCTCATCATGCCTTAAACCGGCAGTGGACGCTCCGTCTAAACGTCAAACGAAGCTTGAGTGCCGTGAACGTAGCCTCAACAGAGCCTGCAAACTGCATTCAGGGCGCCGTGAACGTAGCCTGCCAACTACATTCACGGCGCCGTGAACCTAGCCTGCAGACTACGTTCACGGCGCCGTGAACGTAGCCACTGCGTTTCACTTCACGCAAATAAAAAGTAGGCCTATTGAACATTTCGGTATTTAGCAGAGGGTTTGTGCAAGTGCAACAGCAATCGACAAGGGGAGGCGATTTCAAGGTACGTTAGCGGTACACTGAACCAGAGTCACTGATTGACGATTGTGTACTGTGTATCTTGGCTGCCTATTGACTATTGCCTGCTGTCCTGTCAGTGTTTATAACAGTGAGAAATCCACGATCCTACCTAACCTAAGCAGTAGCTGCACGAATAGAGCTTCTAAACAGGCTGCTTTGTCCTTTTGCAGAATGTAACTTCTGAGTTCAGAAATCAGAAATGTGAGCCCCTTACCTTACTTTCAATTTCAATAATTTTATTTTACTAGATTCTAGATCTAATCTAGATTCTATATCTAGATCTAGATCTATATCTCTATATTCTAGATCTATATAATTCTAGTCTACTATTTCTAGTTCTATATCTAATTTGTACACTTAATCTACAGTCTTACAGTGACGATGCTTTTTAAAAATAAATTGCTTTGAATTTAAATTACTTTTTAGGCTATTCTAGATTTAGATCTAGATCTAGATCTAGATCTAGATCTAGATCTAGATCTAGATCTAGATATTGTGTTGGCCTATCCAGTACAATTGAGTGGAGAGTAGTTCAGGCTCAGGGTCTGATATTGATATATATATCGAAGTGTATACAGTATACAGACCCGGTAACCGGGAACAAAGTCACGAAGTATACAGACCCGGTAGGGGAACTCTTTTGTGATTTCGGGAAGTTTCAGACCTCAGACCCGGATCTTTTGTGTGTGTGTGTGTGTGTGTGTGTGTGTGTGTGTGTGTGTGTGAGAGAGAGAGAGAGAGAGAGAGAGAGAGAGAGGGGGGGGGTGCTAGCAAAGTGTATATGACATGCCCCAGTTGGCAGGAGGGAACGAGAGAAAGATAGAGTGGGAAATAGGTGGGGACAAAGAAATACAGAGACAAACAAAGAAAAAGAGAAGGCGAGCGGTACACAGAGACACACAGAGCAGAGCAGAGAGAGAGAGAGAGACAGAGAGAGAGAGAGACTGCTCGATTGAAATTATGACATTGCAACTGGTTCTTTTCTTCGGATTGTGATTCCTCCAATTCCAAAACGGAGGAAAAACCATCGTTCATCGAAACGACATCCGCAATCTTCATTTAGATCTAGGTTAGCCGCGAAACTAGATGAAAGATTTATGTCTGTCTGCCTAGATCTAGACCTAGACCATAGATCTAGAAGAACCTAGGTCTACCCTGAGCCAAGAGGGTGCTGAAACTCTCCGAAATCACAAAAGAGTTGCCCTACCGGGTCTGTATACTTTGTGACTTTGTTCCCGGTTACCGGGTCTGTATACACTCCCTTGATATATTGGTGATTTTTCGGTAGTTCCCACCCTGCAATTGTTTGGGCGCTTTTTCGGTAGTTCCCACCTCGCAATTGTTATTCGCCGGTTTTGGCCTCAAGATTGGGGGGTTTCAGGGGGCCCTATCCTAATAAAAATGTGGTGGGGGGTTTCAGGGGGGCATCCCCCCCTGAATTTTACCATAATTTGATGTTTTGCAGTTGTTAGGTTTGATTATTTATTTAGCTCGCATCAAACGTATAGATCTCGATGTAGGTAGGCTCAAAATATAAATATAAGGGGGATGGGAACTACCCAAAAAGCACCATTGTTTGCGGGTTTTGGCTCAAAGAATAGGGGGTTTCAGGCCTAATAAAAATAAGGTGGGGGGTTTCAGCTTCAGCTTCAGCATGCCCCCCCTGATTTTACCATATATTTGAAGTTTTGCAGTTGTTAGGTTTGATATTTAGCTCACCGCGCATCAAACGTAATACTGTGGATCTAGACTAGATCTAGATCTAGACTTTTAGATGTAGATATTATGGCTCAAATAAGGGGGATGGGAACTACCGAAAAAGCACTGATATATTACCAGTCGAATCATTCATGTGATTCATACCCTAAACAAACAACAGCATGTATAGTATGATCTAACGTGAAATTACAATCACGTACTCGAGAACACGACTGGACATTCACAAACACACACACACTCATGCACACACACACTCCTGCACACTTTCTCACTCACACGTTATCCTAGATCTAGATCTAGATCTAGCCTAATTTGATGTTTTAGTTTTGCATTTAATTTTGAGAATTTAAAAAATAATTTGATCTGGAATGGATTTCAGTTACCAAGTAAGGTCTAGATCTACATATCCAGATCTATGCTATAGAGGCTATATCATGTCAGATGTGAATGCTGCTGCCAAAAGTACAGCCTCCGAAAGCAGTGCATCGTATGCGGGTGTGAGAGTAGTAAAAAGCGGATAGTTAGAGAACATCATATATGTGCTATTGGCCGATATCTAGGCCTTCTCAGTATCAGGCCCTAGATCTATATCTCGCATGGTTTTGGCTCCAGGCATTGGAGGCCGGAGTGGACGACCTTATCTTGATAAGTTCGCCTCGAGACCCGTCCTTGTCTTATCGAGGATCAATGCGAAAAGCGGCGATTAAATGCCTGTGAAAAGCGGCGATAGGCAGATATGCTCTGCCCACCCTTTATGCTTCCATAATTTACTCACCATCTCTTTTTTGACTTTTAGTAGATGTTTTACACTCCCATCGACACAATTTCTAAGATCATTTAGAGTGGGCTTGGACTCAACCTGTCAGGCTAATCTAAGTTGAGAGGGATACATCCCGTCAGAAAGACTGAGATTGAGATACACAAAAAAATCCTCCCCATCACTTTTCGCCAGATTCTGTGACTTTTAGTTAGTATGACTCGGCAGCTGGTCGGAGCTCCCCGGCCCGGGGTCACGGGGTTGGTTATAAAATGATCCCTGAAGCGATTTTGCCGGTGTCGGTTAGGAAGTTAGCATTATTGTCTACATTCAAAACGACACCTTCTTCCCCACCCCTAACAGCGTACCATTACACTGATGTACTAAAAAGTAAAAGCTTAATATCTTGAGATTTATTCTGCATTAGAATGGTTAATGTCCGTGCCCTAGTTTTTGTTCTAAGTGTTTGTACCCAATTTGTCCTATTTTTAGTTACATACTAGGAATAAATGATTGTGATAGTCTATTTAAACATGGCTGGACAGATCTCTCTAAAAATTTGTGTTAAACTCACTACAAATGTTATATGTCTGTTAACATGAGAAATCTTAGATCTGCGCTGGTTATAGTCAAATTATAAGAGAAGTAAGATGCACATCTTCATTTTTTTGGACAAAATTCACTTAGCTTTGGCTCTTGTTTTACCATTAAATACACCAGAGAAAGATACTCTGCATTTATTCATGAAGCATGATGTGTCTGTGGCAGCCTGCATACATCCAAGAAAGATATAATGCAATTAAAAAACCCACACAAATCTGTGTAGTAAATACATGATGGGTAGAGATAAACTAAACTTCTTGTATGGTATAAAAACAATGACAGATCAGCTAACACATTCATTCTTAGTTTGTGTTGGAAATATTTTATGCGCAGGCACTTATGAATGTAAAGAAATCAGAACATTGTCAGTTATTGCAAATGGTCATAGAAACGAAAATAAAAACTGGAAAAGTTTGGTGCTGATTCAGTGTCATTGGAAAGCTCGAAATCATTTTGAAGACCGAGTTAAGAGAAGTCATCCCTGCTGTTATTCAGTCAACTTACATAACCTAGACCTAGCGTTTTAAGAAAAGTAAAGAATTTCGGGAGTGTATAACAAATTCTGTTGTTGTATTGCACTGTAGGCTATGTATTCTGGCACTAAAATCGGTTTGTACTTCTTCATAGAGAGAGTACATGGGTATTCTTTATAAACTTTCAGGAAGTATATATGTGAATATTCACGATTATATTAGACACATAACGTTGTTTGTGAAGGAATTACTTCTCATCGAATTGTGTGCCAAATGGATAAGTTGCAAAAATGCAGCTTTCTGTTATCTGTGCAGATACCATCTTTTCAGAGTATCTCTGTTAATGTTATGTCTTTCATGTTCCAAAAGTTCAACAGTTTTTGACGAGCATTTTTTTTTAATATGTTGATTTTTTTCATTCACACTTAACCCAAAAATTTTGCAGTTTAGCATTGCCGACTTCGGCGAGTCTAATGAAATACAAGTTACAATGTCCGTTCTTTTAAAAAATCTTAAGTAGAGCAGAAATGCTGGATTTGGGTGTGCATTGAATGATAATTACCGTAAATACAAGGACGCACCGAAAACTTTAAGTTTAAAAAGCACCAAAAATTAAGTCAGCCCAGACAGAGCCGCGTCAGGGAGCAAACCCTCGTGACCCGACTTGATAATAACAATAGATAGCATAATTTGTATAGCGCAAATCTCCGCTCAACAGCAAGCTATGCGCTTCACAATCTATACTATTACCCCAGCAGAACTGAGAGCATTCTGAAACAACCTCAACTTCCTGGGAAGCATACAGTGCTAGCAGCCATTTATAGGCGCTAAAACACTAACATACTCACAAGATCTTTCGCTGTCTATGGCCGGGTACCCATTCCCACCTGGGTGAAGTGAGGAAGATTCGTGTGAAGTGCCTTTCCCAAGGACACAACATCGGGTCCGCGGCACGAACCCCCGAACCAGCAACCTCACGATTACGACTCCGTAGCCTAACCACTAGGCCACCGACGCAACGCTAGGTGGGAAACCCCGTGCTGCAACTAAAATTCCACTTCTGGTATGTCGTTGGGAATCAAAATCGGGTCTTCTGGGTTTTTAGTTTTAGTAGAGGTTTTACGGCGCTGGCAACTGCATAAGGTCATATGAGGGCCAAAAGATTAGAGGTGTTACAAGAGAGTAACAAACATAAAAAAGAAAAAGGGGAGATAAGGACGATAGATGTTTGATAGGACAGAAGAAGCAGCTTCTGGGTTTGATGCCGAAGCACCAAACAGTACACCACAGATGCTGGTTACTATCCCTTTATGAGGATGATGTGTGTGAATGGATCTGTGCACAAATGCATTGAGTGTGGCTCGTGACTCGGGGGGATAAGTGTTATACTATGATTAATGTAAAAGGGTGTGAGTATTTTGGAGTCCGCATCCTCTTTTATCCCATCTTGGTTTGTCAGGTTTCAAGTAAATTTTGTATTAAGAAAATATGTTTCTCAATCGTTTTTGTCGTTTGCCTCAAACTCAAACCCTTTGAGCCTTGACCTCCTGATGCTACCGTGCCCCTCTGTCTGAGCTCTTGAGTGATATTACTAACATTTGTGTGATCATCAGAATCACGTTCCATATCCTTCTCATGGTAGTCATCGTTATCATTAGCATCTAATTCAGAAAGATCTTCAAAATAATCGGTAACGTCCTGTGTAGTAAACACGGTTTCCCACGCACATTTTGTCCCAGGCGGTCCGGTTTAGAGATAGGGTCTTGCTCACCACTTTACCGGTGCCTAGGCATACGGGCAGTTTTACCCGCCACTGGTGTACCGAGGGCTCAAAGGGTGAAAGGGGAGATGTTTTGACATCTCGTTTCTGACACAACTGATGGTTTTACAAACTGATCTAAACTACTTTTCATTTCATCATAGAATGGTACCCCAGGGGACTTTGACTTAAAAACTCGGATGGTTCTTGGACGTACAAAAACGCTGTTCTCTCTTTTGAATTTGACTCATGTAGAACATAAAGTCAGGAGTCATTTCTGCCTACTTTGGGATGAGTATGAAGTTGGCAGTACAGCAGGGCTGGCGGTATAACAGGAAAGCACCGATTGCCATCTTGACAAGTGGTAGACTGGTAAACATTAGAGACAAACTATGTCCAGTTTTGCCTTTGTCTTGCGCAACTGCTATGCTCAGGAAAAAAACGAGTAGCAATCAGTTACACGTTCAGCTCCAGCTGAACTTCATATAAATTCAAATAAAAAATTTCTGCCAGATCAGAAGCGAAGCTTTGATATGTATCAAGGACCCTGTAGATGTACAGTTTGTTTTACCTCAATACTTATCAGTCCTCGTGCCGCCTTAGACCTGTCATATGACTTGAGCCTGAGTCCTCAGTGTATAAAAGCTTCATGAGCACCCACCAGTCTTTAGGGTCATCAGCCAGGCCAGATAATTTGCCGACAGGTCAAGTTGGCACAGTCTCTTAGAGTTTCTCCAGGCGGCTTTAAATTTTAAAAAAAAATTTTCATTTTAAGTATTGGCTAAAGTCTAAACTTGAGAGTATTTTCACAATGAGCATAAATCAGGAACAAATCGATGACAAACGCTAGGAATAGCCCGAACTTGGAGAGCAATTTGTAGGACAGAGATTATCAGGCATCTTGTATAGCAGTTTGTATCTCTCTGGTGGCCAATTCGGTGGCAGTACAGTGGTGCAAATTTACGCTAGTTTCGTAAGGACCATGCAATTCAGTCAGTTGGCGGATGGTGGTGTAAAGAGGCAAATGCTATGTTTATATAATATATAGGTATGCCTTGCCGTACATTGGCACTACATAGCGGTAAGCGGGGCTGGTGGTCTAACAGGGCGGTATAATGAGGTTTTTTAACTGAGCAGAACGGCTCAATTTATGACAGTACCAGACTTCAAGTGTGATGCGATAGGGAAGAAGAAGATGAGTTTAGACTGTACTATCCTTTTTACCTTATATGGGTTTAACATCTTAGTTTTGCAATTGGTTATTATATTATACATTATAATCTTTGTTGTTATTGAAGAGTTTTTTTTTATACCTTTTTGTCAAGTTTAAGTATTGAATTATTTTGTTGTCCATATCTAACATTAACCCATTGCTCCAACATTTTTTTTGGTTTAAAGGCTGACATTTACAAACTATCTTTTACCAAATGCTTCTGCTATACTTGTTGGCTAAATGGCTTGAAAACTTTTAAAAAATTAGTTGTTGTAGTACCTTTATCAAATCCCGACTCCAGTTCTGATCTTGTTCTGTTTTAATTTCAGGTCATGTGGGACAATTACCTTTGGCAATTTTAGAGTGCAAGTTAAATCTGCAGACCGACTTTAGTAAAAAGTCATGGCGAAGAGAGGGCGAGGGGCTCGCAGAGGTGGTGGAGCTCCGAAGAATCGCGATGGAATATCATCATCTGTACTAGGAGCAAGTAAACAGGACCCTGTAGAAGAAGTGGTAAAAAGTGAAGACAAAGACAAGCAAGAGCATGAGGTGGCACGTGTCTCAGAAGATTCTAATGAAGTTGTTCGTGTCCCTGAACAGGTTGATACAGAATTAGGTGAACCAGGTTCCCATTCTGATTCAGGAGCAAAGCAACGGGAAGGAAAACAGCAGCTCTGTGCCCGTGAAGAAGCTTCGACAAGTGCAGTTGAGATTGTAGAGGCCAAACAGACACCAGACATTGAATTAAATGTTAAAAAAGATGACATCCCTTTTTGTACTGATGGAGGAGAAACAGCCCAAGAAGAGGCCAAAGTTTCTCAAACGGCAGAAGAATACTCTAGAAGTAGTGAGTTGTCTAACTCTGAGGTTGAAGACAGAGGATTCAGAAAATCTAGTTCCTTCAATACTGAGGATGTGGAAATCAGTCAGTCGAATTCCTCACAGATTAAAAATACTGGTGAAAATGCAATTGCGAATGATTTGGGTTCTGAAGAGAATAACAAAAAGATAGAGAATCATTCACAAAGTCCTGTGAAGCCCATAAATTTGCAGAAAGAAGGCCAGGATTCCCAAAGTAGGGAGCAGGAAAATCAGACTTTTACAGAGGTCATTACTGAATCAGAGTGCCCCATTGAACAACATCTGAGCTTTGGAAGTGGGGAAGAAAAGACAACTGAGGACTTTGTAGAAATTGTGGATGAAATATGTGAAGACGTTTCAAAAGATGATCCAGATGAGGTAGAAGAATTTATTGCTGAAGCGTTTTGTGTTGATAAAGACGATGATGATGATGTTCATTATATTGATGAAGAAATTGTTGATGATCTGCCAGTTGATGAAATGTCTCAAAGTCAGAGCTCTTTGAGTGTTGGAGGTAAGGGAAAGGCTGATGGGAAGAGGACAAAAGTTTCTTCTTTCAAAGACCGAAGGCTTGTTTCAGAAAACACTCTAGAAGATGCTTCTAGCAAGTTTGAGGAGATATCTGAAGGGTCGATTGATGAGACAGAGCAAGATGAAGTGATTAATGATGACGATAGTTTAGATCTGGAAATTACAGGTGAATCCCTTGCTGTGGAGATTCCTGAAGGTCAGCATGATGAAAAAAAGCAGCTGCCTTCATTAGATAATGAAGCAGAGTCTCTTGAAGCAGTTTTCTTCGCCACTGAGAATGACACAGATGAAAAAGTGTTAGTAGAAGATAAAGATAACGAGGATAATGATGAAATATCAGATGCCAGTTTGTCTGATCATAACTTATCATTAGAAGAAATTAGTGACGATGATTTGGAAATGTCCAAGAAGCGTCGAAAGTCTGTTGGCCAGATGCCTGCAAAAATTGTTGACACAGACACCTTTAGTCAGGAAGCAAAGATGAGCACTACACTTGAGGCAAAACAAGATGGCACAGAAGAAAAGGGCAACTTGAAGAAAAGACCAGCCCCTAATGATGCAGAAAGTTCTGAAGTTAAGAAGCTACGACTCACTTCGGAAGAAGAGGCATCGAAAATGAATGTTGCCGAACCGAATGCTGATAATGAACCAGCATTTTATACGGGGCTATGTGCTACTTCGAGTAATAAAGTGGATGAAGAGAAGGCGATGTCGGAGCCTAATGCAATGCCACAAATTCAAACACGTCATATTTCAGTTGACAAGAAGGATACTGATGCATCTTCTGTTGTGGATGCTCGCTCAAAAAAATGGAAGGACACTAGTAGTCAAACTGACAAGAAACATCTCAAAGGTAAAATTGTTCAGTGCAGCATCAACCCTATTAAAATGTCCACAAATGAAGAGGCAAGGGCCTCAGCACAAGGAACAGTGTCTACTGCCGTCTTTAACAGATTTAAGACTCTGATCCCCTCCAGCATCTCTGACAAAGTATTTACTACAGTTACCTCTGCGTCTCCTGTTGATAATGGTGAGTTGCAGAGTTTTATTTTACTTTCAGTCATGATATTGTTTTTCTTAAGACCATAATATCTTTTTTTTTTACCCCTTTTGAAAGAAAATATTGAGTGACTCAGCTCTTCATTCTCCTATTGTGAAAATTTGGATAGTGAAGTCTAGTCAGTTAACTAAGACTGGGTATCATTAGAGAAGAATACTATGTTACAGTTTCACTGTGGTCAAATTTGAAATTATCATTTTTACTCTTGAACTGATGCTAGTTATGGTTTTTCAGCATTGTCATTAAAATTTTGGGATCTACTGCCATTTGCATCTCCTTGATAGTTGTGGGGAAAATATTTACATGTTCACCTCCAGTAAAATCCAATATGAATAATGGGTACTTAAAAAAAAATTATTCTGCCCTACAGACTTCACCTTTATGTTTCTTTTCTACGGTTCTCTTAATTTACTCTACAATTCTTCAGAATGCAGTTACTCTTTGAGTATTGGCCCTGTAACCTTATCAGACATGGACAACGATTTCTTCAGAGACACTGCCCTCAAGGGAATGAAAAAGTTCAGCTTGACGTTTGATCAATACTCTCAAGGGTATGTGTGTGTGTGTGTGTGTGTGTGTGTGTGTGTGTGTGTGTGTGTGTGTGTGTGTGTGTGTGTGTGTGTGTGTGTGTGTGTGTCATTTCCATTATATATGTGTAAATTTTCCCCTCTATTAACGAAGTTTTAATATTGTCATTGTCAAGCAGATTAAAAAAAAAAAACATTTTGGGTATTTATTAGTGTAACCTATTTGTTATCCTCATTGTCAAAAACTTACTTAGTCTTTCATGAAGTTCTTATTCATGGTAAATATTATATGTTCTGTTTGTGTAATTTCATTTCAGAATTCTCACTGGGTCTCTAGCTCAGCAGCAGGATGTAGTGCAAATGATGCGAAAGCTTAAGCATTTGCAACTTGGCAACCGCTATCTGGTGGTTTCTGTGACTTACCAGTTTGGAGGGACCACTTCTCAGTGCTGGACAGGTGACATTTACTTTTGTAGAATCATGTTTATAACTTTAAAAAAAAAGAAATTATGTTTTAATCCTTGTTCAGTATTATGTTTTAACATTTTGTGTTTTTTCTCTTCTGGTTCTCCTCCAAACTTACTTGCAAAAAGCGGAAAATGATAAATAATGTTCTGTTGTGCTCCATTTGTTAACTCTGTTATTCTGATTTTATTCTGTGTAGTCATTGGTGGAAGGTTCCAGGGTAACTTTTTCCTGTTTTCTTGTTTTGTGGATTGCTCCCAATTTTAATCAGTAGGAAACTGCATAACTGTGTGGGTGGACAGTGTGATTGTAAAACTTTTTTGCAAGACCAGCACAGACAGTATTCTGTGAAAAATATCTTAACCTACATCAGTCTGAGCATAGCATAACTTATACCTTTTACATATCGAAAGCTGTTTTCATTATATTGATAGTTTCATTGGTCTTCCAGGCACATTGATTTTGCTCTTTGAACAAGATTCACAACAAGCATATCAAACAGTCACATGGGATGGCAAAGTGAGAGCACAAGTTACTGTCTCAGGTGTTCCACCTAATGTAAGCAAAGATTTTGTGCACATCTTCTTCCCTGAAGCTCTGAGTGTTGCTTCTGCTACCAGCATTACCGAGGGCAGGTATGTGTTTACTTCTTTTAAAGAAAAATGTTCTAACAAGGGTACCAAGAAAAACATTGTTCACATTTTATTAGAGGAAAACATTTGTGGTATCATTTCTCTTAGACATGACAAATACATGGGTGTTTAAAGAACTTTCTTGTCTAAGTGGATTCCAAATTGTTTTATGGTCTTCATTGAAATTTTCTTCTTAGCTTTATTAGGGGATCAATTGTTCTGCCATTGTTTTCAGCCATTATGTTTTGCATCTTATGTCACTTTAATATACCCGTAGGGAGCTGTCTTGATACACACTCTGTATTCCTAGGGCAAGGGAAATAATCCCCCTGAAATACGTAGGGACATTATGTTTTTAGAAATTCATTGAAGAAACTTTCTTTGCAAAATGATCTGGGTGAAATGCAACAATGCCAGGAAAAGAGCACTGGTTTTAACAAGCCTGTTTCCACTGCAATACAGTAAGGATGAGCTTATTTTTTTCCCTCTATAGCTGTGACTATCAGTTTTCACTCGTTACCCATATATTTCCATCAAATTAAAATAATTACAAAACTGTTCTAATGAATACAGTATAACAGTTGATCACAAAATGAGTCTGTGTTTGATCAGGATCGCTTCATGGATAGAACTATTGTTGTTGTATTTTATTTGTTCAAGTTTCACCTTCATTTTGTCTCTTGATTCTTAAGTTTTATAATTAATAGAACAAATCTTCCAGTGGATAGATTTTTGTTGTAATAAAGACTAGAAGAAAGCTAGATTCCTGGCTTTCCCCAAAACACAATACCATAACAACCCAATAGCAGACTTTGCAAATTAATTCAAGATCAAGATCTATCAGTGCTTCCTGGCACCTGTAAAGCTATAATGGGGTGGGGGAGGGGGGTGTTGTAATAAGATTTTGTGATTGGAAATGGGATATTTGGCAATCTTATTCACCACATCATCGAAAGTGGAAGACTTGTATTTTATCATGTTTTACTTTATTTTCATTCTCAGGGCTATGGCTTTGAGTTTCTCTAGTACCATTCTGGTAGATGAAATTCGTTCGTGTTACGACCTTATTCTGATAAATGGATGTCAGGTCAATCTTAAGGCAAGAGACAGCGTGGAAGTTTCTTCTTTTGTCAATGTCAAGGAGGCAGGTGAGTGACTGTTTTTTTTCTTTTTCTGTCTTTCATGTGCTTTTATATCTTTGGTTTATTGGACACTTCTGTGGTAGAATCCTACTTATTCAGAGTGTTGGTTTCTGACTTTGTGTGGGTTGGAGTATTTGTACTCCTTCAGTTCTGGGGAGCCACAAGATTTGTGGATGGCCATTGTTTGATTCATTTATGTTTATGATGGAACAAAAGGGGTATTTTTTCATTGTAAAGTTATTGATATGAGTCGAGGTGAGGAACGTGGTATGCACAAACGGAATTGTAATAAGCATTCCCCAAAACAAATCTGGAAGTCCAGTGGATGCTTCTCTATGAAACACAGACTTAACTTTTTTCTGGCTGAGGAGCACATTTCATGTGGCCTTTTCAGTCGTCTAGGAACATGCAGTCAAAATAATACAGTGGGTGTCGCATTCAACGAGGTCACATTCAACGAGAAGTTGGCTCCAACTAGGCAATCCTTAATCCCCAATTTTTTCCTGTATAATATCTTTTTGTAAATGTACGTCAGCTCCAACGAGGTTGTAAACATACCAAAATCGCTTTCAACGAGGTCTCGATAACCAAATAAAAGCAATTAGGGGCCCCAAAAGGGAAGAGTTTTTCTCTTTTCTCTCCATCTCAAGGGAAGCACAAGGCCTATCCTTGATTCCTAACACATTGCGTAAGTAGATCTAGTGTACCTCCTAATATGGGCCCCAAAGTCAAGAGGATGGGCGAGGGTTAGCCTACGGTAGGAATAGGAGGGGGTGAGTGGGAACGCGATGCGGGCTGTGTGGAACTGGATGAACTCTGGATAGGTAGATTCTTGATCTAAATCGAGACCTTCATGTTTTTTCAATTTTCTTTTCTTCCCCTGATCAGAACAGGGTTCCCGCGGCCTCCTTGAATTCAAGGAGTCCTTGAAAACTGCTGGAATTTGCATTCAAGGAAAAATCTCCTTGAAAACTCCCTGAATTTGCCTTCAAGGAAAAATCTCCTTGAAAACTCCTTGAATTTTGCCAGATCAGACAGGAACACAGGGTGACAGCCAGGCCCCGGGAATCTCGCGGGCCCCTGGAATTACCCAGGAATTTGAAAAAAATCGCCGAGATCCGGAATGCCTCGGGAATTTGAAGAAATCTGTAAATTGCCGATGAAAGACCCGGGGAAATACATAAAAGTTCTCGAATATTTGAAAACCAAATCTGATAAGGTCCTTGAGTTCATTTTTGCCAGTTGCGATTGTGATATAATATTCATTCGGCCTTTCCAGGCCTGAGAGTACGTTTCACGCGCACTTGCGGTAATGGCGGCAACAAGTGGAAGTATGTGCGATACCGAAGCTCGATCGGGAAAATCAAGATCTACTTTCGCTTTCGTTACCACCTAGAAATTTGCCGGTAGGACCTATAGTAGTAGTAGTCTGATAACGCCACATTTGTAACATGCAGGCTCTGTATTACAAAAGCTGTGTCGCCCTGAAAATAAATCGTTTGTATTGTGCTGTCACTTGTGTAAAAAAAAAAAAAGAAAAAGAAAGTTATACAATGAAGCTTCTGTCGGGCTCGCCATCGTGACCGGTCATTGAACTTTTGCGTTTTCGTCACATCGTGAGTATCGGCGATGGTTGAGGTCACCAAAGTTAATGCAAAGTTTGAGTGCTGCGAAGTATAGGACTCGGGCATGGGAGGATTATTGGGGGTTGAAGGCAGCACCGGATGACAAAAAAACTGAACTTGTAAGTTGGAAGCAGATTTTACTTTTCAGAATTTTGAGTACTAGTAGATCTAGATCTCTCTGCAAAGCGCGCGGCGTTGGTGCAGTCCTTGTGTGGAATCAGGATCCATCATACTCAAACCGTGTAAGCCGTGTTCTTTCTACTAAATGGTTCTGGTTTCATTGCGTAGGTGATAGTAAATTATATGTATTGAATATATTTTAGCTTTCTGTTCAAGATTGCAGATTTTCAGTGTCACTGCATCTTGCCCTCCGACATGAGTTCTTACACCTCTCACACTGAATAGGTCTACTTGAGCCATTCATGTTATTAACTCTACTTTGAGCTAGAGTAATAATTTTTGCCTTTCACGTTTATTATATAAACTTTGACACCCAAACTGGTTCTTGACAGTGGATATTCTGGTTCTAGGCTTTTTCTCAGGCTCAAAGCAAGATTCATTTTTATATAGTTTATATAGGCGAATATGATGAGGGGAAAATATAAATAAGTAAGAACAGACTGAAATACCTAAGTCACAGTATCCCAGTGCCACACTGACATCATGCTGTTGACTGGATATAATGTACCTAGGTCTACATGCATGTGTGTGTATATATTATAATATATAAATGGAGTATAAATTGTTATGTAACATGCCGCTGGAGAATGGATGAGCCCCCCCCCCCCCCCCCCCCCCCCTCAAAAATTGAGAAGCCGGGTTGGCAGTCACCCAGGGAACAGTTTTTCTTGGAAAATCGAAACCTTGATGCACTTCACTATTGACCATCCACTAAATAATAAAATTGCTAAAATATACACAATAACGCGCCAAATCAGGTTCTTCGCGAACAACTTTGCTTATTTTGAGACACTGATTCCGAATATGAAATCAGTTTTTAGCTATGATAATTATCTAAAAATCTTTGATCCCTGAGTTTAATTCTGCGTGGCGGCAAATTTCAAAGTGAATCTACGTCACAGCGAGTCTCCCCCAAATCTGACTGTGATCCCTCGAAAAATATCAAGCAGCGCTTGATTTCTCTACCGAGTCTCCAAACCCTCATTCAATCGTCCAAATGTTGTACAATTTGGGGTTACACATGACGATTTATCGTATGATGGCTAGAAAGTCCAGTTTTTGTACAATTCATCTTTACATGTAACTGGGCTTTTAGGATTCAATATGCTCATCATCATGTGTGGGATATGTATGCTTTGTTGTTCTTCATGTTTTATTGTCGGAGTAGAGGAACTTTAGCTTACCTCCAAAAATAATGGAAAGAAAGAATAAAAGAATTAATCCTCCCAGTAGCTCATTTTATGTAATTAAGAAGATAACTGCTTTTACCTAACCTGTCTGGGTGAAGCTGAGCTGTTTGGAAAACATTAAGGCAGGAAGACATTTTTCAGTATGGAATATATCTTTCCCATATTATTGGAATCTACATTTTCTGTATGTAAGGCAAAGGGCTTGACCATAGCATCATGCTGCTGTCTGATGTTACTATCATGTTAACGCACTGTTGTTGTTTTTTCTCCTTCTTCATAGGGTTTGAAGAGCAAGCAGGCGTGGTGGTGATACAGGATGTGGATGAGGTGGAGGATGCAGTCCCCTCAGCCTCTGTTGTTGTGCAAGAACTTCCTGTGAGGGCAGATGCAAGGGACCAGAGAGTGGTGACTTCTGTCTCTGACCCCGTTCCCAGTTTGGAAGGAGAAAGTTCTGAGCTTGTGGAGAAACCTACTGAAGTTGATGCTGGGGCTAAGATACTGGTGAAAGAAGCTGAGATATTTTCAGAGGCCGGTTATATGGAGTCTGCTACACAGGCAACTGCTGTGAAAGATATTGAAGCATCTGAGACAGTCATTATGGACCCTGCAATGCAGGTGACTATTGCACAAGAATCTTACAGTCAGGAGTCTGCTACGCAGGTTACGGATGTGGAACAGACTAAAGTTCAGAAGTGTGCTCCTCGGGTTACCCTGACACAAGAGACTGAGGCTTCAGAAACTGGTGCCGAGAAAACTGCTGATATGGAAGTTGATGAGACTCGAATGACAGAATTGAAGGAAACTGATTTTCTGGAGCCTGTGATGTCGGGGAGCACAGTCACTGCCTCTGATATGGCAACAAATTGTGGCATGACAGATACTGACAGGGATGTAGCAAGAGCGGATGTCAGCAAGTCCAAAGATAATAGTGAATCTACAGAAGATAGCACTGTCACTGTTGGAGAAGCTGGAGCTGTTGTGAGCTGTGGTTCTGACAAAACCCATCCTCCAGCTGATACTTCACAGCAAGAAGAGGTTACCGAAGCAGCGGATGGGACTGTAGTTAATGAAAATGACACTGATGGGAACAAGTCTTCAGTGTTTGGAGTTGATCCAGTGGGGACAGAAGGACAGACTGAGGGAACTCAGAAACGAAGTGAAGAGGATGGAGCTGAAGTAAGTGGTCTGCTGTCTGGAGAGTCGGCAGCAACAGTGGCAGAGTCCAGCACCTCAAAGGATGAGGCTACAAATGTTTTGTCAGAGGAGGGCAGTGACAGACCAACGAGGCAAGATACGAACACTGGGTCAACAATCACAGCCGGTGAGAATGCTGACAGTAGTCTGGCGGCTTTTGTTGACTGTAAATGTGATGCTGCTGCTGCTAATGCTGATTTAGCTGTGGTTAAAAGTAGTAACCTAGAAGATGTTAGTGATGAGGAGATGATGCCTGCTCAGGAGCAAGAGAGTGATGATGATGATGATGTGGTCATTTTGCGAGAAGATCCTTGGAGCAAAGTGGTGGCGAATATTGACTTGACGGTTGACGATAACACTAACACCCCTGAAGGTGTGCATAAAGAAGATGTGACATTGGACAAAAATAAGAGTAATGTTGACAAGGATAGTGGGGACAAGTCCAATGTCCTTGTGATGACCGACGGGCAATTGGAGGTGAACATGGAAGTTGTAGATGTCAGTGATGATGGTGAGCAGCAGGAACGAGTTTTAACGGCAAGCAGTAGACGATGGTCTAGTTCAGCTGTCTTGCAAGCTCCCTCTTATGCTGGCCCCCCTCAGGAGAGGCCATTGCACCAAGATCGGAGGGAGGATAGAAGATTGTTGTCCTCTCAGTTTGCTGAACGCGGAGGTCACAATGAGAGCAGGCCCTATTCCCGTCTGATCTGTTCAGATGGTAATGCAAGGGCCAAGCGCTCTGACTCGTCGAAAGAGAAGTCTCCTACAAGATACCGGGTCCCTTCTCGAGAGGCAACTTCACGTAGAAGACAACCGTTTAGGAAGAGGTCAGTGTTCAATGTTTTCTGTGTTCATATTCTTTAATTTATATGCAGTCTTGCACGCAGGGAAATCGACGGGATGCAGAGATCTCTTTGTTATGTACAAATAAGGCAATTTCAAGGGAGGCAAACACAATTGGTTAAAATTTTCATGAATTATGCCCTTGTGCCACGCCAACAAACATATGGAGTTCATAATTGCTTTGCTGTGCAGATTAGGTTTTTTGACCATTTCCACTTCTTTGGTCTGCCATGATTCACTCCCTACTGTAACTTTGCCTCCAAGACCGAACTTTGGAAATGCGGGTGAACGGTTTGGTTGTATGTAATCTCTGTTGAAGTGGAAGTGTGCTAAAGTATGTAGTGACAATACTGGGTACGTGCCTACATGCAACTGCAGATTCCCCTCGTGCAACTAAAATGTGCTAGCTCGATTTACTGCTCGACACTTCTGCATCATGTGCAGTTCTATAAACAATCCCTCAGCCTACATTTTTGTCCCTAGCTTATAGAGGGCTCATTGACTTATACCATGTCTCTGTTTCTGTCTGTCTCTTTCTATCTCTGTCTGTCCCTGTCTATCTGTCTGTCTGTCTGTCTGTCTGTCTGTCTGTCTGTCTGTCTGTCTGTCTGTCTGTCTGTCTGTCTGTCTGTCTGTCTGTCTGTCTGTCTGTCTGTCTGTCTGTCTGTCTGTCTGTCTGTCCGTCTGTCCGTCCGTCCCTCCCTCCCTCCCTCCCTCCCTCCCTCCCTCCCTCTCTCTCTCCCTCTCTCTCTCCCTCTCCCTCTCTCTCTCTCACTCTCTCTCTCTCTCTCTCTCTCTCTCTCTCTCTCTCTCTCTCTCTCTCTCTCTCTCTCTCGCGCTCTACACAACTACTTTGGGATACAAAAATTGTGGTTGTGTTTAATGCTGACACCAATCGCTTTTGGCCTATGAGAAATGTTAGGTTCAAATATTCTTAAGTTTTATGACAGGTCTAAGCAAGCTGTTTTACACTTAAAAATTAATTGTTTAAAATTATTCATGAACTATTCATGAAGCAAATAATTGAAAGTACTGAAAGATCTATTTTAAGATTTTGTGTTTCTTTTGTATAACTGATTACTTTATTCTTGTTGTAAGTCTTTCACTTTACACGCTTTTCTTTTTTTTTTTTTCTCTTCTGGTTTTTTGTCCCTTTGCTGTTTCAATATTTTTTTTCGTCGATTCATCTTTTCTACTCAAATGGTCAAGAGTATGAATATTAAATTCCTTCTTTCCTGTATTTCAGCAGTGTATAGGACTTAATGATAATTCTCTTATAATATGTAGGAAAGTAGCAAGTATGGAAAATATGAATGAATTATCTGTGCCATATACTTCCTCTCTTTTGAATTGTCAAAATGACTTGCCTCAGCTTTCTTGCTTCTGTCTGTAAAACATAATTCAAAGTATTTTTAAGGGTTATGACAAGTTATGATAATAGGGCATCGTATGCAAGAACATGTTTATAGGCACCTTTTTTTCCATCTATAATGGTTGAACAATGCACTGGAATTCTCTTACTTCACTCATTTTTTATTTTCTATATGATTTATCGTAACATTGATTTTGCTTTTCTTTCATCTGTTGTATGCGCTACTGAAGAAGTTCTCCATCCCCGAGTCGACCACCAGGGTGGAATAGAGATGATGAAAGGTACCAATATTCTAGGCAGAACTATGCTCCAGATTATGAGTACAGTTCATACCGTTACTCTGTGCCCTCCCAGAAGTATGAAGGGGACACCTGGTCCCGAAGATACGACAAGTGGAACCCCCAAGAGCAGCAGCAGCAGCCACCTCTGCGAGCACCAATGGAAAGGCATGGAATGAGAGAACCTCTTCTACCATCATCGTACGAAGTCGGTGCTCATTCTCATAGTGGGGAGCCCCGAGTCTCACAGCCCAGGTCTGCTTGGAGGAAGGAATATCAGGCGGTCAGAGATGACATTGGAGACCAGCCTTATGGTGGGTACAGGAAGAGTGCTCCTTCTAAACCTGTGAGATCACCGTCAAGGTCTCTCTCTAGTCTTTCTTCTGAAGGTGTTTCCAATAATGATAGACGTGTTTCCAATGCTGATAGACATGTTTCCAATGCTGATCGACGGGTTTTGGCCGTTGGCAAACTCAAACAGCCATCACGGCGTGTATCTCATAGCCCTATCTCCGTGTCATCCAGGTCTCATTCTCTCAGTCTTGTGTCGAAGTCACCAACTCCTGAGTCCATAAGGAAGAGGAGGGTCAGTGGTGCAAAGCAGTCATTTCATAAGTCTAGAAAACTGCGCAGCTCTCCAAGTGACCGTTCAAGGTCTAAGAGCCCGCATCGGTATTCACAGCAAATGAGAGGACTATCACGTAGAGATAGAATGAGGTCATGCAGTCCTCGTCAAAAATCCCCTGTGACTCCCCCAAGGAGGGTTTATATTCGCAAAACAGGGAGAAGTTCACGCAGCCCTGAAAGGAGTAGATCCCCTGGTGGTCCCATGTTCCATCGTGAAAGATCAAAAAGCCCCTGGGAGCGTGATGTGCATTACAAGAGATCCCCCAGCCCTCAGCATCGAGAAGAGATGGGACTGAAAAGGAAAATTTTTCAGTCAAGGTCCCCTGTGAGACGCAGCAGCCGTTCACCCCCTTCAAACTGGTCGCCTAAGAGAGATCGTACCCATGAATGGATTCGGTCTCTGGAGCAGGAAGTTGTGAGGGTGTCCCGGAAACGCTCACCTCGGAGAGAAGTGTCCAAGAGCAAGCCGTCTACCTCTGTGCAGAAGTGGGACTCTCGTAAAGGGGCTGGCACCAGCAAAGACCTGTCCAGCTCATCTCAGGTTTCCCCCGCCATGTCATTCACAATTCCTCCTCCAAACATGAATGTCCCCCCTCCAGGGTACCTCTCCGCAGGAGACAGTGCCTCGACTCCATATCAGTCACAAGGGGGTGCCTACGTAGCTGGGACAATGCCTGTGTATCAGTATGGACACCAACATTACTCTTATTCCACGATGCCCTCTAATGCAATGGCTGGACCATACTTTACGCCGGTGCCTCCGACACATGCATACGCACAGTCATACCAGGGGGCGTACCCTGTGATCCAAGTGCCCATGCAGCAGGTGCCAGTTGATCCCAAACAACAGTCGTACCACCCACCCATGCAGCCCCCGCCCAAACCACCGCTTGACCCCAGACCAAAGTCTCCCTCACCAACTCAGCGGCCTTCTGCCTCCTCCACCAGTTCTAGAAAAAGTTCTGGTTCCGGGTCACAGGCAAAAAAGAATTGGTCTATGGGCAGCAATGCTTTGGTCTTCCAGCGCATTCTTAGTTCTGATGGTAAAGGGAAAAACTCTTGACTTGGTTTAAGTTTCTCATTCAGGCATGTATTAACTGTGCGAGGTTGGGGCCCACATGTCCCATAGACTCAAATAAAGGTACAAGGAAGGAACTGTGGAGCATCTTTCTTTTCCCAAATATATACTTCAGAAACTGTTAACTTGACCGTTTACCTACCACTACACACATTTTCTCCATTCTGAGCTGTGAATGGGTTTTTGATGTGATTCACGGGTACACTTGAAATCACTTAACTGAAAGTTAACTGTTTACAGTGAGATGGTTCGATTGCCAACTTGGATGATTGGTTCTATCTTCCATCCCAAAATGAGATCTATAGTAATTATGATAGCATCATGTACTAAAATAATTAAACGTTCATTGTTACCTTCTCTGTTTAATAACAAAAGGAGCACAAAACTGATGTCTAGCATAAAAGACAACGGAAAAAAGTGGTGCTGTGTTATAGTTGATATCGATGACATGGAGACTGAAGATGTTTTCTCAAAATGCTATTTCCACACATTGGCTGGCAAAAGTGTCATTTCCAAGAACACTACTTTAGGTAGACCTACTTTGAAAAATAAAAACCATGTTGGTAAAGATTTCCTTTGTGGAAAATTAAATGAACGTTGCTGCTCTCAAAAATGCCACGTGGACTGTAATACTAATGAGACTGTTGACTTTACTTGGATAGTTGGACACCACAGGCAGTTCCACTGGACAATAAAATAAGGTTTAGCATTTTGTCACATGGTCTGATGGTAGAAAAGTTAAGTTTTTGGGAAGGTCCAAAACTCATGTAAATGAATAAATCTTCTCTTGCAGAAGTACTTGCTATTCCATAATAAGCGAATTTAGTGGAGATATATGTGGTTTTATTCAGGTCCCTATAATAACACTCGAGCAAATGGGAAAGATAAGAAACTTCGAATCAGTTCAGGTTTTTCTGACAACAATTTGATTATACAAGCTCCAGATGACATATAATTTCACTGAAACTTTTAGAATGGGAGAGATTTGTGGTTTCCAACAGGCACCTATGATATTGACAAAGTATAATGGTTGTTCTACCACATACTGTGTTTTGTGTGAAAACGGTTCTCGTTTTTGTTTGTTTTTTTAATTGAATTTGTGTTTTGCAGTGATCGTAAGCTGTTAGAATTTTAGCACAAGGTATATGGATGAAAACTTGTTTGTTTATTCAGTCTTGATGAAAGGATGGTGTGTACACTTTAACATAGATGGTGAGCATTTTATTTTGTGAGCAAGTTATGCATTTGTCATCTGCATCCGTGATTGTTGGATGTTTGAGTGGCTGAGAGGATATGAAAAGGCTGATAACTGTTCAAAAGTTTCTGTACTTACAGAATGTAAGCATGTTTATGGAGACCTTGTTTTGTTCATGATATTGGGTATAACTGTTACTTTCACCTCAGTATTTTGAGACTGGAATTGAGAGCAGTTCGTCTCCTCTTGTTGAGCACATGCAGTGAAGTGCTCTGACTGTATATATTGGTGTAGTGACAACAGACAGGAATTCGTGTGTATGGAAACTTTTGGACCATGCTATTTTTATTTTTTTGCAATATAAAATCATTTTGTACAAATTACAGTATGTCTGTCACGTGGTCACTGCATAAGATCACTCTGATTCTGTTGTTGTTCTAATGCTGGGCTGTGATTATGGTCAATCCCTGCTTTTCCACCAGCATAATGAAGTCTATGGAGCAATGTAAATCACAGCTCTCTCGCATTCCTACAACTAGTACAGCATGGTCTACTGTGTGCTGATGCCAAGAAGGGCAATACTCTCAGCTGTGAAGGGTGCATAAAAGGAGATTCCTAACATTGTCGTTTGTACTAGATTATTTTTGTATTATATTGTTCTATCAGATAATTGCTGTTGATGAGAATTTTTGCACTGCCTGTTTTTTCCTGTGATCTGCCCATGATAATTTTTTCTTCCGACTTTGTGATGTGCACGCGTGAATCCAGTTTCACATTGACTCTAGGTGTGTATGCGTGCTCCCATTTACACTTGCAGTCAATGCTGGATTTGTTTTATGCATCCTCTGCAGTGATACGAAGAATTCTCAAAACAGAGTTGAATGTATGCTAATTTTCTTCTTGGTTGAATCCATTAGTTGTAATTATAATACAGTGGAGTCCACTTATAACGAGTCAGGAAACAACGAGAAGTCTGTTATAAAGACGCTATTCTAAAACCCCGTTTTTGTCTCTTCTTTACTTTTGTAAATAAAATACTGCTATAGCGCTATCAGACAAACATGCGAGTCGGTTATAGGGGAATATTGCTGCTGCTGTGCACAGTGCATAGGTCAATTGTACTTAATGTAAAACCTCGCCAGTTGAGAAACTTGTTTGTGATCTAGCGAAACAAAGAATGGGAGGGCCCACGTGTCTCAACAGCGAAGGCCGGAGCGACTGAGTGAGGAGCGTGTGGCATGCGCAGACAAGCAGAACGCATCGCCTGATAGGCCAGCGTAAGCGTAGTTTAGATTATCAAGGCCTGTCATGCCTCTCACTTCTCCGATGCGGGGATGTAGAGGTCACAGAAATGTGATGGATAGAGCGAATGTGTGACATGTCCTAGCGGACTGAATGCACCACAGGGTGTGGTGGGGTGGGGGAAAACACAATGGGCGAGTTAGCCCAGAGCCCTTTCTTTCTGATCGCCAACCCTGAGCTGTCAGTCAATACTGCTAGCGCTAGAGAAAGAAACCTGATTCGATGTTTGATCAGGTAAGACCTAGAGGTCATGTTGAAACAAAATCATCATCAGGGGAGATAGCAAAAAGAAATAAACAGAACACCAAACTCATAGATAAGGCCTACTTTACAGTTTCCCTTGAATTTATTACTGGATCTCTTATAGGGAGAATCCTGCTATAACGGACATTTTGCACCGGTCCCCTCCCTCTCGTTATAACAGGATTCCACTGTATGCTCATGTTCATGAAACTGGCGACGTGTCTTTTAATTTTATGTTCTTAGCCGACTTAATTGTAGATCTGCTCAGCTGCTACTTGCTGTTGCAACTCTCTGAAGACCAGCTCTGGTTTTTAAATGAATCACGTACGAACAACTTTTTTGACCAGTTTTGAAAAGCTGCTATTGATGTGCTAGTGTAGTTGAAGGTCTACCCCACTTCGATAGTCTGCCGTAAGTCTTGCCAGATGGACCACGGTCTACTGTGTTCTAAGTGGTCTAGCGTAGGATGTCCCGCCGGCCTTAATGGCCATGATAAGAAAAGCCCTGGGGGCATTTAATCCCTATGTGGTGGCGTTGCGCAATTGCGGTGTGTGGGTGTATGGTTGGATTGCGTCATTTTGCAGTGTTGTTTAAATCAAAGAATTTTGCTGTTATAAAAATTATGATTAACCAGTAAGTCGCGACAGCAAATGACCAGGCATGATTATCCCCCTCCCCACCCCACCCCAACAAATTACTGCCAACAAAACATTTTGATATGGCAAATGACAGTCCCCTAGCCTGTATACCAGAAACATTGCGGGAGACCTTCACCTAAACCAATTGTTGTACCAGTCCAGCAGTTGACCTTCAACTAAACCAGCACTTACTTTTCTACATTTTTTAATGCTATAAAACACTTAAAGGTAGTCTTTTGTCTTCTTTGCAAGTAGTCTACTTTGAATCATCATTGTGTTTAGGTCAAAACTTAATTTGTATGATTTTTTAAAATTAAAGGGTGTCAATTTAGGTGTCAGAAAAAGAGATTAGATGTTTTGCTATTGCATTTGCTGTACTTCGATTCTTGGTCATACTTCTTAGTAGTAATCTTACTTTTGCTATTGAAGAGCCAGCCCGATATTCTACCCCTGGGAATGGTCTTAAAAATGTGTTTTTCTATTATGGTAAGTTGACTAAGATTCATGTACATGAAACGGGATCCAGATATTGTACATCTGTTCTAGAACTATCTAAAGTATACCAATCTTGAGTCTTGTGGTGTCTGTGTTCCATTTTGCTTTGGGGTTAAAGAGTCGATAGGGTGAAGGAAGGTAAAAATCTATTGAGGAAATGTTCACACGATGAGCGTGATTGTGATTGCACTTAGTTAAGTTCTTATTTTACCCCGCTATTGAATATTATTTGCTAAATGGTCTCTAAAATTCAAATGGTTCTAGTAAAAAGTGAGAAACTGTTAACACTCAACAGAATTACATCAAATACAAGTATTCAAGCCAGCTTTCTCTTCTTGCTTTTCATTTTAGGAAATACAAAATGTCAAGGGTTACTAAAGTGGGGGGGGGGGTTGTTCTGGAAGTCTACTTTTATATTGAAAATGTGACTGGCTACTGTTGTGAGGGGCAAGAAAAAAAATTGCTTGTAATTCTTGTTAAATATTAATGCAAGGGATGTCAAAATTTAAAAAAAATGCAGCATTGTATGTTTTCACAAGAAGCATAAAACTTTTCAGTCAGATCTTAAAAATAAGATACACCACCACAGATAAGTTCAAGCTCTACAAAAAATCAGTGGCACAAATTAAGAGCTTACATTCTTCTCTGGCCAATACTAATATATCATGTATAACAAAACACAAACCAAACAAAGGGAATGACCTGAACAAATGGCAGACCATGTTTGAGGGAACTGTCTACTGTCAGAAGTTTTCTTTACATCCTGTACATCGGACCCTAGGATAACATTGTGACTGACTACTGTTGTGAGGGGCAGGAACAAGTGCCTGTGTGTATAGAGACAGGTCACAAGGTGAGGCCCCAGATACTGTAATTTCAAACACTAAAAATTTTGAGTTTTACCCTGTTGTCCTGGGGTCTGATATGCAGGATGTAAAGAAAACTTCTGACAGTTCCCTCAAACATGGTCTGCCATTTGTTCAGGTCATTCCCTCAGTGTGGCCTGTGTTTTGTTATACACGATATATTAGTATTGGCCAGAGAAGTATGTAAGCTCTTAATTTATGCCACTGATTTTTTGTAGAGCTTTAACTTATCTGTAGGGGTGTATATTTTATTTTTAAGATCTGACTGAAAAGTTTTATGCTACTTGAATTACTTGAATATAGAACAGAGGTCTTAGGATGAAGGGATGCTCCATGCTTCCTCGCCCCCTCTTCCCTCTTCATGAGGGTCTATTTCAGTATGGGCAGACAGATTGTCTCCATCATCAGCTGGTTGGTGTAGTGTCTGATGGGGTCACGCAGCCTGGTCCTCCTACCTTCACCAGGCTGCACTCCTTTCGCACTCACAACCTCCTTCGTGAAGGAGTCCTCGTCATGGCTGCTGGCTAAGTTTTCTCGGACAAGGGCTACTACAGTTTGAAGGTCACGGGTAAGCACTCCCTCTGTGTTTGCTGAGCGTGCTAGCTTATCTGCTCTTTCTTTTCCCTTGACTCCTGCATGACCTGGGCAGAAGATGTTTTACGAAATGTTTTATGCTTCTTGAGGAAACATACAATATTGCAATTTTTTAATGTTGACATCCCTTGCATTAACATTTAACAAGAATTACAAGCTATTTTTTTTTTTTTAAGGAATGTCCAAGACTAGAAAAAGGATGCATTCATTGTGTGTACTTGCAGTACTTGCTGTGAACATACCTTGTTTAGAAATATGAAATCAGTGATTCAGAGGATATCTGAATAAGCATGCCAAAGCTCAGTACAAGAAGTATTATTAGACAAGTTTCTTTGAACTTAAGAGGTACCATCATATGGTTACCTTTATAATGCAACTAACATCATTCATAGTGCTGCATAATGTACCACTGAATCAATTTGGAATTATTAATAAATGTAATGACGGAATAAGTAGAAATGCTTCATTAGAGTTGGAAGAAAAAACTGATTTGAGTGGTGCTTTTGATTGTTGTGGAACCTCACCTTTGACCCTGCTTTTATGCCTCACAGTTGTGTTTTGAATTTGCATATATATATAATAGATCCTATTATTGTCATCTGTGTAGTCATATACCCAGACTGGAAGCCGAAGTATTACTCCTGCAGAGCACATTTTATCAATCATGTATTACTTGGAGATTTTTCTTTGAGTGAGAAAAAAAAAATCCTTGTCCGGCTCTTGTCGTCTTGTGAAAAAATCTTTTAATGGTACTTTCATCGGTTGGAGATGCTTCAGTTTTTTTGTGTAAATTTTAAAAAGTCAACCTAATTTTCTTAGTTTAGTTTCTGTTGCTGTTGCTTGTGTTGTGGTGCATCAATCAGCTTTAGTTTATGCCTGATGGATTCTGCCGTATTGCTCTACTATGTGTTGTGACTTGTGAAGGATTAAAACATGTCAAAAAATCGGGTTGACTGTTTGATGTCACCCAAAACAGACACGAAATGGTTTATTCTTTTTGAAATTGAGTGAATTTTTCAGTTTTATTCAGTATTGAAATTCAGAGACTTTTCTGAGTTTGAAAAGAGATTTACGACTACAAGTTTGTTTTTCTTGCGTTGCAAGAGGAAACCATTTGAATGTTCAAGGGAAAGTGCATCATATCTGGGAGAAGTTTTGATGTATGACACGTCTTTGCTATTTGTTTATAGCAACTGTTTCTGTAATCTACAGAATCAAATGAAATTGATGACTTAATATAAATCTCAATAGTAAATACATTTTTTGTTTAACAGAATGTGAAAAAGGTTCACCAAGAAATAGCTGAAATGAGTAATCTTCGTCAACTTTTGATAAAGACTTAGACAGCCACTTTATTGCCTGTAATAATTAACATGTTGTTAAAACTAAACATATTTTATGTATGAATTCCAAAGTTACATTCTCTGAGGCCTTTGATGTACTCTCATGAAAGTTTCTCAAGGTGTGATGTTGAATTTGTTTCGTGTTAAATAAAGATGTATCCAGGAATTTATAAGAATTTCTGAGAATCTTGTCTTTTATGTTAAGACTAAATGTGCAGGTTGTGAAAACTTAGTTACCATCTGTAAGCTGTCCATTAGCCAGAATGCTGCCTTACCCCCCACGGTGCCTTTGACTGAAGTGTCTTTAGGCCGTTCCCAAAGGGGGACATTAACATGTTCTTATGCACGGTAGAATTGTAAATGGGCTGATTCATCAATTTCATGCTCGTGACTGCTTGAACTGCAACAGGAAACTGCTGTTTTTTTCTTTCCTATTTCCTTACTATCGTCATTTGCCCTCTACTTCTTTTGTATGTTTGTCACACTCTTGTGACCCGCTATTTCTGGAGTGCCTTGA